TTCTAAGATTTGATTTACATTTCTAATTAAAATTGTTTTTGATCATACGTATAGATAATTATATAAAAATTCCAAAATTCTAAAATTTCAAATACATACAAAAACAATCATATGTAAATTTTAAATTTGTGAATATTAAAATTTTATATTTTAATTACATATATTCACCCTGCGCAAGGCGCAGGTCTTATCCTAGTTTCAATATAAAAAGAGATTGATGTAATATTTTCTTGCATCACTAAACCCTTTTTTTATTAGACTTCTTCACTCTTCCCCAGCAATGATCCGGTGATCGCCATGTCATATTCCGGCTATCGGCTGTTGCGGCCGCAGATAAATAATACTTCCAATCCTCAAGTACCTGCCTCAAATCCAAAACCTTATTTTGTAGACCAACACAGCAATTCGCATGCATAGTGCATACTTTATTCATCTCACGTCTCAACTGGCAGAACCCTCGGAAGTAAACTGTTTCTAGAAACTTTATCTTGAGCCTGATTTTTTCCGTGATATATCGGTTGTATTTGATCTTGTTGAATACATCCTGGTCCTTCTTGCCGCGGAATCTCCATCTGGCCCCGTACCAATACTTGTAGAACTTGACTGTTCGATTATTGGCTCGGACATATTTGAAACCAGTATTGACAAAATTTCTCTTGTCAGCAGAGTTGCCATTATAGCTGTCACATGAGACTTGGAAATCTCCTTCCGAGAATAGATGAGGAAAGGGATCTCGAAGCCACATAATATCCATGTCCTGTTTTCCAATTTTTAAAACAATTTCAATATATGCCTTTCTCAACAAAATAAAACAATTACAATATTAGGTAAATAATATAAAAATTCAAAACTACCGATATGGGTATATTTTTATTAATCATATAATTAACTAGCTTGTCACTTAAGGGTAAAAGCCTCAAAGAAAATACAATTAAGACCAATTTGTTTTTTTGTTTAGATCAAAATAATTGGTTTTTCATTCAAAAACTCAATCGAGTTTAAGATAAAATGTTAAGCTTAACTTTTTACATTGGTCATTATTTTTCTTTCATGATATTTCACTTTGATTTTTTATCTTTGCTCACATATGTCAGGAATACATGGTTCCGGATCAGATGGGTCCAAATCTAATTTATTATCCCATAAAAATATAAAACTTATGGCTTATTAGATGCAGAGTGTTATAATAGAGATGTATCTCGAGTACTATATAAGCCTCAGATTCCTAAGACAGACTCATTAAAAAAACCACTTGCGATAGAGATAGATACCGTGGAGATGAAGCTATAACCGAGCTTCAGGACAGAACCCAAGAACTCTATACGACGCCACATCATTTTGAGATAATCCCGTGTCATGTAATTTTTCTGACCCGAGAAATCGACTCCTGGTGTCTTCAAGAAGTAGCAACGACGGGGATGTATTTTCATGCACCGTGAGTAAGCGTCCTTGTCCAGACACATCACCACAACGTGACGGAGCAGCCTTTTAGTCCCTTGTCCGACGTGAAAACTCTCAAGAAACAAATCAAACGTTGAGTTCGGCACAGCCCAAGCTTTGTTCAAGAAAGTTATTATTATCGTTTTATTCTCCGTTGCTGCTTCTCTCAAGACTTTCTCCAAATATATCTTATCTTTCAATTTAGACTGCGTCCAAAAAGAAAATAACTTATATGAGCTAAACAAAGTTAGCGTTTCGAAACGCATATCCAAAGTCAAACTGAAGTCAGAGCAGGACCTATGGGGCATTGTAATAAAACATTTTAACGGGCGTCCACTCTGTGTGAACCCTATTTAAAACAAATTATTCATATATATATATTGGTACACTGATATATAAATACTAACTGTAAAATAGAAATGCATAAAAGATTTTTGGTATAAAAAATAATAATAGTATAAGGATGAATTTATATTGTTAAGATTTAGATATAACTGAATGGTATACTATGAAAACTATAAAGTTTTTAATAATTTTTTTTTGTAAGATTTGTAAATATATCAAGTAATCAATAAATATTTTTTTTCGAATAGGACTTTCAAAATTTCTGGGACAGCTCTAAAACCAACTCAAGTTGTGTATCATAAAACATGTGTTCAAGTTACTAACGGTAAGGCCTTTACTGAAGGCTTGAATGGGAGATTGGTAATGGTAGAAGAGTAGGCACATCAATACAGAGGCGGTTAAGAAAACTGCGATCATCTTCAGATCTCTCCTTCCTACCATCAACCGGTCTCGCCCTTGCGAAGAGTTGTGGCTGTGTCCATCGTCTTCGCTCAGGCTCTGTACATCAGCCATATATATATTTCTGATAAATATGTGTTTATGTTAGATCATATATCATTGGTGAGTAACATATAGTTACTCTTCGTCGATTCATCCATCTTTTTCGATTAATTAGTAAATTAACGATAGATTCACGAAACGCAAACTCAGAAGAGTCCAAGACGCATAGCTTTGATTTGTCGTATATATTGATGAATATCTTCTTGAAAACGTATATTCTATAAATCAACCCAAGTTGCTATGCTATTTAAATTGTTACGGCTCAGCTTTTTTATCTGTCTAAAATTGAAGGTTTTATAGCCACTGTCTAAAAGATATTTATAACTTTTTAATAAGTTCCAGTAAAATGACAAAATAATAGCAGCTATTTAATTAACCGATAAAAACCATTTAGATATATACTATGATTCATTTTCTAAAACACTTTTCATATGGCCATGCCAAATTCTAATGTAAATAACATAACATATATTAGTTTATAAATCTTATCATATCATTTATATAATTATTATTACATTACTTTTGTAGATGTATGGTCATGTGATGATATATTATTCATGTAGGTGACAGTCATTTTCTTAATATATTATTATATACGTTGTTTGGAAAAATAGAAAGAAAAAAAGAATCGAAATAATAGAAAGAAAAAATATATATTTTTATGCACTTAAAATATTTTAGCTTATGTTCTTTAAGATAATGGGAATCTGTTCCTACACTTCTTCTGCTTTCAAACTATAGATGCAACTTTTGCAAAAAAAAGTTTGATATGAATAAATTTACCATTCATTCAGAAAAATAAGTGTTACTTAAACTACTTTTTGTATTAATTTGAAAAACAGATGGATTTAAATAAAATACTAACTATTTTTGAAATATATATTATGTTGTTTAAGATTTTAAAAGGGATGATTTTTTAACTTTAAAGTTAAGATTATTTTGTGAACTTTCTTTTTTATGAATCACGTTGTATATAAAATAGATTTTCGTTTTAAAATTTTAGAAGTGTTCTTTATTATAAAGTTTATGTAAAATATAAAGAAAAACTGAAAAAAAGAAAAAAAAAACATAAAATTTTCTGTTGGTGACAATTAAATGGATATGATTCATTAAAAGTACCAATTAAATTAACCATTGTAAAAATTAACTTGAACACGACATGTTTTTTTAGAACACGACATGTAAAAATCTGATTTCTCAAATAATATAATAGAGATTTAGTAGTGTTAACTTAAATAAATAAAAAAATTATGTGTTATTTACTAATTTATGGTTAGCTTAATGAAAAGTATAATATATGTTCAAATAGAACAAATAATAGATGACATGTATCGCAATTATTCTAGTAATTTAATCATCTCTAAGGACGGTAATAATCATTTCTCAATCAAAATATATCGGATAATATAAAACCCTGTAAATCAAACTAAACCGGATTAAACCAGAAATAACACAAAACATAATGCATAGAATTTAAAACCCGGTTAAGGCTTGGATGTTTTGCAGGACAATAACTGAGAACAAATACAAGACAACGTCAAAAGATATGCATAGTTGCTAAAAGCTGGTTTGAAAACAAATGCTGAGAGATCCATCCAACAGAATCGGGATGAGAATGTTATCATTGAGAAGTGGAGGCGTGGTCACGCGCTGCTATAACGCTCATGGCGTGATCAGCATTGCAGTAGACAAAGCTCTTCTTACCAGTTCCTGTGGTAGTTTCCACAGTGGAGAATCCCAAGTAGTCATCCTCACACTTCTTCTGGCAGATGTTAGCCATGTACTTGAACATCTCCTTCTTCTGGTTCCATGGCTGGTCTACGTACTCTTTGATAGGCATCCACTACAACAAAACACGATATATTATATATACAAAAAAAACAAGCTCAGATGCAACAACAGTGTGTACAAAAGTAAGAAATGTTATATTTATATTATGTACCTTAGCTTCCAAGATCTCAGATTTTTGTTCAATGATTTCGTAGGAGCGTGGAGTTAAGGCACACAGGAAAAACAGATCGGACTTCTTGTTCAAGAATGCTTTGTGGCTTTGCCTATTCACGCGTAAAGAAAGAGGAAACCAATCAAGAACCGATGGGGTAAGCCAGATCAAATGTTTGCCAAGGCAATGTCAAACATAATTTACCTGAAAGACAACACTTCCACAAAATCTGCAACAATCTGAAGTAAAAAAAAAATCCCATGAAAAGATCACAAGTTTTAGAATAAATTGGCAAGTCAAAAGATCCTTAAGAAGTTAAAATAGATAATGTTTTACTGGAAAGGAAGCAATATACATACACCAGTTTCTTCTTTTACTTCCCTAGCTACTCCATCACAAATATCCTCACCCTGTGGGTTTGGAAAAGTTCTCGTTAGAGGCAGCCAAAATAAATAAAAACAATTAAAACTTCATTTCCACAATTCTCCTCATAATTTCAAATTTGATATCATCAATCATCTTTGCAGGGACCAAGCAAACATGTACTATCAAACCTACAAGCTAAAGCCATGAAACGAATGTTTGTATCTTAAAAAAAAAAAAGAAAAGAATATCCGAGTTACTAAACACTTTATGCTCAGTCCCTTCATAACCAAGATAAACTTGAGTAATAAGGGACCCTCAACTCTCTTAGACAAATATGCTGAGACCCTTCATAACCCAAGAACTCACTAAATGATTTTATATAACCAATTAACCATCTTACTACATAAACATGAAGTCCTAGGCTACAACTCACCTCGTTGATAACACCTGTAGGCAGCTTCCACACATTTTTATCTCTGAAGTAACCGCTCTTTTCCTGGACTACGAGGACCTGCGATCATTGAAATTCGGTTCATCATCACCCTTCTGTCGAAGTAATGTTTATTTTTCATTGAGAAAACAATGCAACTTGGGGTGTGAGAGACTCCCCTTTTCTCTCAAGTCATTTTAGAGATCCAGAGAAGAAGTGGATGATTTGTTTATTTCTTTTACCTCTCCAGTGTTTTTGTTGAGGACCAATGCACCAACACCTACAACATGGGAAGCATTTGCTGGAATTGTGTCAGGGGTGCTTGGGATCCAAGACACAAGCATCAAGTAATCAGGCTCAGCGTGATGATACCTAAACCCTTCCTGAAAAAAAATAATCACCAATACACAAATATCATATATCTAAACAAACAACTTACCAAAAGTGTAAAAGAAAGAAAAAAAATATTCTGAATCATGTCACATAAAACATCTTACACTAACTGCAGCCTCTACAAGATTAGCAAATAGAATATGTATATTGATCCAAATCCCCTTCTTCCCCTGTAAATTGAAAAAAAATGAAAAAGAGTAAAACTCAAGATTTTCAACTATCAGCATAATCAAAATCCTTCAAGAGGATTGTTTTGAATACCTCTTGTCTCCAATGCGAAAGCGAAGCCCTAAGCTTTTCGGTGAAAACATCAGCATCCATTGGTTCCTTGATGGTTACGGTAACACCATCGTAGTTGTCAGGCTCGCCTTGAAGAATCTTACTAGCATCCATCTTAACCAACTCTCTTTGGTGGTTTAGTCGAAGATGCTCCAAGTAATCTAACCCCGACGATATTCTTATATCAAACTTGAGCTGAATCCTTTATACAGGAGGTTGAAGAGTAGATACTTTGCTTTGATTTGTTCCAAGAATTTTCTTTTCTTGACCGAGTCATATAAAATATAGTACATTTCGGTTGAGGAATTATGAGGTATGAGTCATCAGTCATGCATCAATCATCTTTTCATCTTCTACTTCCTCGAACCGCCCAAGAAGACGAAGACTTTCCCAACAAAATTTCTAAGAAAATACAAATTACATTTCTAAGAAAATACAAATTTTCCACGAAATACAATTGTTTATTTTCATAGAAATAATTGACAAATTATTCTTCTTTTTTTTATCAAAATTTTTTGAAGGGGTCAGAATCGTATGAGAAAGGTTCAAAATTTTTCTAAAGGGTTGAGAATATTATCTGTAGGGTCCACAGTTTTTTTAGAAAGGTTCAGATTTTTTTCTAAACGGTTTAGAATTGTTTCTGAAGGGCGCAAAAATTTTTCTAAGGATTCAGAATTTTTCTAAAGGATTCAAATTTTTTTCTGAATGATTCATAATTTTTTTTCTGAAGATGCAGAATTGTTTCAGAATGGTTCAATTTTTTTTCTAAAAGCTCTAGATTTTTTTTCAGAAGGATTTAGAATTGTTTTTAAATGGCATAGAATCATTTGAAGGTCTTGAATTGTTTCTGAATGATTCGGAATTGTCTCCGAAAGATTCAGAATTTTTTTTCAAGGGTCCAGATTTTTTTGAAGGATTCAAAAATTTTTTTGAAAGTTTCAGAATTGTTTCTAAAGGCTTAAGAATTTTTTTTTAAGGGTTCATAATTTTTTTGTGAAGGGTAAGGAATTTTTATGAATGATATTTCTTTTTTTTCTTTTTTTTTGTTAACGAATGATTCAGAATTAATTCTAAAGGATTCATAATTGTTTTTGCAAGATACTAAATTGTTTAAAAAAGTATACATATTTTTTCAGAAGGGTCCATAATTTTTTTCAGATGGGTCTAAAATTGTTTTTGAAGAGTTCAAAACACTTTCTAAATGATTCATAATTTTTTCTGAAAGATTCATAATTGTTTCAAAAAAATTTAGAATCTTTTTTGAAGGCTCCAAAATTTTTTTTTGAAGAATTCAAAATTATTTATGAAGGTTCCAGAATTGTTTATAAAGGGTTCACAATTGTTTCTGAAAGTTTCATAATTGTTTCTAAAAGATTTAGAATTGTTTTCAAAAGGTTCAGAATTTGTTTTGAAATGTCCAAAATTATTTCTAAAGGATTCAGAACTTTTTCTTAAGGATTCAAAATTGTTTGTGAATCCTTCTAAGGAGACAAATATAAGTTCTCAAATCCATTTCATTAAATAACTAATTGATTATTTCCATAGCAGACTGATATTTCTTTTTTTTCTTTTTTTTTTTGTTAACAACTGATAGATAATTCTTTAAACATCAAACATATCGAACAAGCGGGCTCATTTCTATGCCTTTGAGAAATCAATTGTGTCATTTGGAAAATGTTCTAATCTCTTCAGAAACAAATTTTAAACCCTTAAAAATCAATTTTAAATCTTACAGAAAATGTATTTTATCTAACAAAATATTTTGAACCCTTAAAAAAAAATCATGTAGTTGTTTATGAATGTTTCACAAAAATATTTTAAACCCTTTATAAAAGTATTCTCAACTCATCAGAAATAAATTCTGAATTTTTCAGAATTCAGTTCCGAACCCCTTAGAATTATGTTCTGGATTCTTCAGAAAAATATTATGAATTCTTCAAAAAAATATTCTTAATCTGTCAGAAATAAATTCTGAACCCGTAAGAATTCAGTCTAGATTCTTAAGAAAAATATTCTAAATTTTAAAAAATGTTTCTAAACCCTTCAAAATCAATTTAAAACTCTTTAAAAATAAAAATTTAATTTTCAGAAGATGTTTTTTAACCCTTCAAAATCAATTCTGAAACCATCAAATATAAATTTTGAATCCTTTAGAAAATATTTTTGACCATCTTAAAATATAATTTTGAACTCTGTAAAAACATATTGTAATTGTTTCTAATTTTTTCAGAAAAATACTCTTATCCCTTTAGAAAATATTCTTAACTCGTTTGAAATAATTTTAAACCCCATAAAATCAATTAGGAATCTTTCAAAAATCAATTTTAAACCTTTCAAATCAATTCTGAACTCTTTAGAAATTAATTTTAAGCGGTTCAAAAAAAAATTCTGACCTTTTTAAAAAATAATTTTGAACCTTTTGAAAAATTCTTATAGTTGTTTCTTAGAAAAATATTTTTAACACTTTGAAAGAATTTCTTAATCCATTAAAAATAAATTTTAAACTTGTCAAAAATATCTACACAGGTCTCACTTCAAAATTGTAAAATGTCAAATGTGAGTTGTCATATCATTTTCACTAGATAAGTCAATAATTATACCCATAGTAGACTGATATTTTTTTTAAAAAAATAACTCACTGATTATGATTATGTCCATAGACTGATATTCTTTTTGTTAACTACTGATAGATAACTCTTGAAATATCAAACAACATCATTAAAAGAGTTATATGAAAATCCTTCTGAAAAATATTTAAAACTTTTCAGAAATTAATTATAAACTTTTAAGAAACTAATTCTCAATCTGCGTGTACAACAATCTTTAAATATATATAATATAAAGTAGATAGTATTTTAAAAATGTGAACGGTGATTTTATAATGTATTTTTTTTTTTTGAGGAGGTGAGTGAGACTATTAGAATATAAGATTTCAAAAATCTTTTAGAAAATTTTGAATTCTTCATAAATCAATGAAAAATCTTTCACAAGCCAATTCTAAATCTTTTAGAATTCTGAATCTTTTAAAAAACTGATACTGAATCTTTTAGAAACTAATTCTGAAGAAGAAACCCAATTCTGGAATTTTCAGATATAATATATTTATTTTACTTATAATCTCCAAAGATAGATATAAATAAGACAAACATAACAACCGTGAACCATTGGAGATAGATATAACAAACGTGAACCATTATTCATAATAATCCCCAACGACATGTCTTGTGGAACTTGTCGAAATCATCAGAAAGGCTTGGCTTTGGTTTTCAGAAGCATCTCCCTGAGCTCCACTGGATCAATCTCATCCGCACGGTTAGAGGGTCTATAACATCCCGTGATTGGATCCGGGGCCCACGAAGACTCTGCCTCTTGATTTGCTTTTAGTTCCATCTTTCCCACAGTAACCCTTGTGGAACCTCCCTTACCAAGTCCTGGTGCTGTCGCAGCGAAACTCCTCCTATAAAAATATTTATACAACACGACAGAAATTTATAACATATTTTCCACGGTTATTTATATCTTCCAAAGAACAGAGACTAAATAATATCGGCTACACATCACAGAAACGTGATAAAATAACTGATAAAGTATCATGTGTGACCAGCATTATTAGATCTAATTAAATGATCATATAAATATGATAGATCAAAACTGTAGCCGAATATTTAAAAGCATAATCAGTGTAATTAAACTAAATTGTAAAGTTCGTTTTTAATTATATAGTTATTTTATGATTTTTAATTGTTATTACTATCATTTTAATTTGGAATATAGAAAGTGCATGATCTAAGCAAATAAAAGTGTATACAAAAACGGATCATTTAAAAAAAAAAAAAAGTACCTGACGACAATGGAACCAGAAAGATTGCCCGATGCAATGGAACAAAGAGACTTGACTGCACCTGAGAGTGAACGAGCAGCGGCCATTTTGTTATTTAGATAGTTTGTAAACGCTATATATGTTCGACCTAGCTTAGCTTTTAGCTACCGCAAAAGACGTTATGTTTCTTCCAGAGGTAAGTAAAATACCCTAAGAAGATAAACAATCTTTTTGCAGTAGCCGTCGGTGCTAAGCCGCCGTCAGATTCTCAGGTGATGTTTTCTGGGAGTTTAACGTTTAGGGTTGGACGCGGTTATATACACAACGGGAGGGAGATGGTTTTGGGCTCATGGGCTTTTCTGTGGGGTACATGTGAGTAAACTGAGTAGAGTGTTTGTGTAACACTGTCGTAGATATATTTTTTTTTAGGGTCTCAACTCTCAAGTTCACTTGAAACAAAACAACGATATTGGACAGTGAAAGGTAAAAAAAAAATGGAATAAACAAGTAATTTCTAATCAAAAGATCTGGAGGAGGTCGGTGAGATCTGATGATGATCTCTACTATCAACGTGTCCGTTACGTATCATACCAAACAAAACATGTGTCGTCGTACTACAGATGATAGGCTTTACTTTCCGTTGAGAATTGTGATTTTATGGGGTCTATTCAATGCAGGATCTTGGATCGCACTCAACTCATTCATATTATATTTTTAGTAAATGGTATCTATTTTCATTTTACTTTGTTACAATATCAGTAATATGTGATAACCAAAAAAATATCAGTAATATGTACGATGCTAAAACAACAAAACGATCGATCAAAGAAATGAGTGTTAGCGATATTGTAGGAAAAAATATTGAGGTGTGCGCAATTGATAAATAAACAATCTGTAATTAACTATCATATTCCTCTAGTTTCTTAGTCGATCTCCTTCACTTACAGTTACCAAAAATTGGAAATATGTATTAAAGTTATATAGACATGATATGTTCAACCACACCCAAACGCCAAAACACGATACTTGATATGATCAAGAACCTCAAACCATGTATTTCAAGGATTGTCCATTACCTAGTTTAATTAGTGTTATCTAGTTAATTAGTGTTATCTACATATATTTTCAACTTAAAATTAATTAGTTATAAACGGAGTGATCTATCTATTTTATATCATTAAAGATTTTTTTTCAATTATCGATGTAATACATTTGTCCTTAGTATCCTCTCGAGATGATGATTCCATAAGTGTTAAATTCAAAAATAGTTAGATAAATCAGGTTGAATTCGTGGATCACGGATTGAATATCATGTCAATATAAATAAGATTCTAACATAAAATCAATTGATTATAAATAAAGTGATTCATATATCTTATATAGTATTAATTTTTTTTTTAATTATTGATATGGGCACATTTGTCTCTAATAATTATTCGCTCCATTTTATTTTATTGTCGTTTTAGATTTTTTCACACAGATTAAAAAAATATTTAATTTTATATATTTTTAAAATAAAAACACAATTACCTATACTCCTAACCACATTTCAACCAATAAAACATTAAAAAAAAAATATAAAGTTAATAAATTCTGTATTAAAACTATAAACGAAACTTATTTTGAAACGAAAACTTTTCTCTACAACCATATGTAAACTGAAACGGAGGGAATAATATTTACCGTCATTTCTTTTTCTGCTAATAGCTAAGGGTGATCAAAATAGTTCCTTAACAGAATAAACTTGAAATTCACTCAGAATTGTTCGAAAAGTAACATCTTTTGTTTGTGCACATTTGAAGAGTAACATACACCATAAAAATCATTTAGTAAACTAATATAGCTGCAAGACTCAGTTGACCACATTCTTTTTGGTCGTCTTACAATTTGTTCCAAGTTGTTGTTATGGTTCATGTACAAACATGTTACACGTGTTCGAGTTGTTGCGAACGTCTCTCCCACTCACCTAGTAAAGTTCTTTTTGCTAAGCACCAAAGAAGAATAAATTAAGAGACGAAGAGAAAAACCTTGGATTTAAACATAAGAAAAAGTACATGAACTATGATCGCTAACAGAATAAATTACAAATGTAAAAGATCCCCTTGCTTACCCAAAAACAAGGCACCCTTACAATCTTCCAGAAGAAAATATAATCGACAAGCTTATTAGAAGCTTCTAATAATGCCTTTGGGTGGTTTGAAATTGACAAGGTGAGTTTCTGGGGTTGCATTCTCATCTTCTTTCCACATCTTTATCGTCTTATCAGCCTCACATGTTACCAATCTTGAACCTGTCTGATCATAACACGCTGCATATATACCCGCATCACTCTCCAGTGAACCTGCCATATACCCAACATAACATCAATTAAAGCCCATTGTTATTGCTTTCAAAACCCTAATTATCATACACTTCCAATACTTGGAGGGTCAAATTTACCCGACTAAGACTTCTACATATTTTCCCTTACACAGACTAAGAGCAAATGGACATGAAACAAGCTATGAATATTCGTACCAGGCTGTGCAATAGTTTCTGACTGCTGGAAACTGTGACCACTCTTCCAGTCCCAGAACCATATACTTCCATTATCACCTTAATTAACTCACATAGATAGAATCAATTTTAGTTAAATGAAGGCAAGGTACATACACAATCACAAAAAGGGGATTCAGATAAATTTGTTACCTCCAGTAACCATTACACCATCCTCGTTCACTGCAATTGCATTAATTATGGTGCGAGCTGTTCCATGGAAAAATACAGCATATATATCAGAATACAAAAACTATCTAAGTTCAAATGAAACTCTTGCTTCAAAAGCACTAGAGATGCAAAAGAATGGGATATATCTAGCAGAGACTTACAGCATGTTGTGGCAGAACTCTCCCTTTGGAAGGCTAAATTTCTTGGTGTTGTCAGCTGATGCAGAAGCAAATGCATTCCTAAAACAAAAGCAAAGAGTAATTATTTGTAAATGTTCAGGTGGGTCATCTTGATGAACCTTTCGTTTGAAAGATAAAGTGGAAGCACTGCAACTACACATACTCTTTAGGATGAAGGGCCATTGCTCGGACGGATTTCTTATGGTGTGTTAGAGTCGTCATTGTCTTTTCTGCATATAATAATCCGACAAATCAGACGAAATCATATAATTGCAGCAAGTGATTATCTAATAAGCAGAGATCCAAAGAATAAGGACTTGAAAGTGGTTAGAATGATAAGATATACCATATCGAAGGTCCCAAAATTTAATTGTCGTGTCATGAGATCCGGTTACAACTTGTGGGTCCTGTAACATCACAGGTTAAAAGTGAGTCACACTTGCTACTATAAGAGATTCTGAAGGAAAGAAACTCTAACAACAAGTCATCTGAAAAGGAACGTACCGTTGGACGAGTGAAGACGGAACAAACGGTGCTTTCATGTCCTGAGAGTGCAAAACTTTGCCTCTGGATACGAATATCCCACACCTGCAAATAAGCAAACATGGACATTTTAACTACACATTCAGCAAAGCTCATGTACTAACTTAAAAGAGACATCTGTTAATGAACAAAGGATATAAATATTATAGTAAGTTTCTTACCCTGCAGACAGAGTCTCGCCCTCCGGTTAGTAAAACGTCTAAAGTTGGGTGAAGAGCTAAGCAATAGACTCCACTCAAGTGACCATGATAAGACCGGATAACCTATAAAAGGGAAAAAAATTGATCAAATAAAAAAAATATCTATTATATAAAGAAGAGTTGGATCACTCCTTAGGGTGTCCACGTAGGCTGACACGTCAGTAAGTCCACGTCAGCTAAGGATTTTGTTGTTGGGCCGCCCGTCTGGGCTTCGCAATTTCTTAACTGGCCTGTTTTTTTCTTTTTGGTTCACCTTCTCTCTGTACGCTTTCACAACAAACCAAATCCATTCCTCCTCATCAAGCAAAATAAAGATCCTATCCTCTTCCGGCGATCATCATCATTTTGTTTTGGTTACTCAGTCTCTCTCGAGTTTCAGACATGGCGGCCGCGAAGCTCGTGGCTTTGTTACTACTTCTCGCCTTCGTTTTCACCACCGGTGTCTTTTCCGATGCCGGTCAAGAACCGACATCTGCTTCTGAGTTTAAGTTTGATCAGCTTAATGCTAAAATCCGTGCCCTAGGTTAGCCTTTGTTGAAAGGTGATTCTAATTCTCCACCTCAGAATTTAATGTTACTGTTCATTTCCTTGATCCCTTTTAGTTACGAAATCTCATAGAACTTTTTTCACTTTTAATCATGCCTAACAGATTGTTGTTCACTGTTCTTAAAACAGGAAAGAGTACTTCCATGTGGAGGCTAGGCTCCTCTGCTTCTGGGAGGCCAGAAGTGTCAGGCGTAGTGTTCAAATGGCATGTCTTGATATGTTGATGATTGACGTTAAGGTAAGATTTTTTTTTTTTTTAACAAAATTTTTTGAGGTTTACCGAAATCAAAAAGATCGTTCCTTCTCTTTCTTTATCTGGATATCATGAATTAGCTTTATCAATCTCCATTTGTTGTTGAAAATAAGAAAACCCCGATTCAATCATATAGGTTTTATTGATTGTGTGTGTTGATCTCCAACTATATGAATTTGAAACAGAAAACCGTTTCACTTTTCTAGCTTCTATTGATTGTGTGTTGATCTCCGAGTATATGAATCTGAAACAGATAACTGTTTTATTTTTAAGTTTTTTTTTTATTCTATGTCGTATCTAATTGAGATTGTGTGTACTGGTCCTTATGTGTGTGAAACTGAGTATTAGATCTGGATTGATTATAAGTTTCCCCTCTTGCAATCAAGTGCCGTGTCTTTGTTCTTATGATAATGGCTTTTTGTTCAGATGTGTATGATTCCGACTCTTTCTGAATTTCTTTAAAAAAAACTGTTTCCAAGTATTTACTGACGAATTTTCTGATTAGAGCAGGGCTAAACCGTTACTCTGGGTTAGTTTCTAGATGTACAAATGTCAAGCTTTCTTCGTATATTAAGACCTAATGCTCATCGTTTGTATCTATGTACATAGCTTGATCATCAGAGGAACTCCACTCTTGACACAGGCTACGAATGTCGAGCCTTTAACCATAGATGAGGTTAACAAAATTGCCATCATTGCTCTCTCTGAGGTAAATTAGTCACTCTCTATTCACATGTCTTTCCTGGTGTGTTGGTTGCTAAGGATAGACTATATAACATATAGGAGATTGAATTCATGATCACCGAGAGAATTACTGGAGTCGACGTCCATAAGGGTTGGTGTTATGTCGCTTGCAGAAAATGCAGCAGAGAACTCCAGCGCACTGTACCTGGTTTTGCATGTGTCAGATGCAACAAGCCTCATGCTGATGGTGATTTACGGTATGTAACATAGAATCTTGCAGCTGTATAATTTGATATATATGTGCATACAGTAACGATGTAGTGTGCTTATCTTCTCAGTTATCGAGTAACGCTTGGCATCGCTGATGACACTGTTGAAGGTGTCTTTGTATGCTTTGATGGTGTGATGACAAAGCTGCTTAGTCTTGAAGCACGTGATGTCGGCCAGATGCTGGTGAGTTAAGAATTGTCACTTATAACTTAAACATATGCCTCTGTGTAACATTGGCACATTGTCTTTCCTAGGTTGAAAAATATGAGAACCCTGAAGATTCTCTAGTGCCTCCGTTAATCAAATACATTGAAGGGAAGACATATTCTTGGTGAGGAGGAACGCACGCATCTCAATGGTGTAAACGACATTGTAAGACTAATGTTCGTACACTGTTGGCTTTTTACTAGGTGTTCTTTGCTCATATTTTGCGTCTGTAACAGGAAGCTGGTAACAGTATACCTCTTGAGCCAGAAACTGTAAGGATCAGTGGTGTATCGATCAAGTGAGGTGGTGGCACGGCTTCTTGATTTGTTAAGCTGTCGTTTTTTTCTAATTTGAGAAGATTTATTGTTTTCGTACTATGGTTCCAAAAATGATTGCACTTTAGTATTGGCATTTTAGTTGTTCATCGTACTCTATCTCCGGTTGAAATGTTTCGTGGATACTATGAAGAAGGAATCATTTTAAAAGTTTGATATGGATAAGGGAATTGGGCTGGGCTTAATAATTACCCTGATTTTACGTGTCTCCAATCAGAATGTTCGTATCTCTAACAGACCAATAACACATGTATTTAGTTAATTTTTTGTTTATGCATAGGTTTTTTAAAGTTCACTGAAAATCTGTGATCATTGAATTGTTGATTCTAATAATAAATCTATACAGTGTTACTATAATTGTGCAATAGCCGTTGTGAGTATTTAGTATTTACGTTAAGACAATAAATTAGAGATCCATGATTTATAGCCAAGGAAAGTTGTATATGTAAACTTAATATTATAAGTTAAAAATGAGATATTACTATTCAATATTCATATATGTATTTTTTTTTACAATGTAAAACATAATATCTAATTATTACAAAACATTTATATATAAAAAGGTTAATATATTTGTATGAGATTATTAAAATATCATCATATTTATTTTACTTATGTTTTTTTAATGCCACTGTAAAAAAGTATTTCATTTATTAATTCCATATAAAAAACTACAATTAGCCATAAACTAAATTATTTTAACAAAACAATTAAACAACCACAAAATAAAAACTCATAGAGTTGTTACAATATAATATTAGCCGACCATTTTTTCTAATTGAAATTGTACTCGCACATAAAAAAATACACCAGTATTATATATATTCAATCTTTTCAGATTAGACGTCTTTTTAATTTTTTCACACTAATTAATAAAAATGTTAAACGTTCTGTTTACCCCTATTTAGTTATTTAAAATTTATTATTTTTCTACTATTATGTAAAGATTAAACAAAAGTAACACATATATTAATATGAAAGCATCCAACCTCCCTCACACCACAACTAATTTTCATACGATTGACCTCCGGTAATCATTTCTTCGCACATATTATTTTGTCAAGCAATCAACATTAACACATATTAGTTTCAAAGCAAATCGAAAACATTACCAATAAGAGCTAAAACATATTTTTCCATGCCTAAACATATTAACTTCGATAAATATTATTATACATTCTTTTTTTCAAATCTTAACATAAAACATGCAAAAAAAAATGATAATATAGACTTATACATCATATGTAAATTATATCCCGCCCGTAGGGCGGGCCGACCCTAGTTTATATATAAATATTACAACAAGTAACACCTAAAAACAAGTTTAATAAACGAGTAAACCAGAAACCTTATCCGGTTAACGAATTTTCAATTGTAGGGTTTTAAGGTACGCCACTTGGTAACCCTCTATATAAACTGAGCCTTCTCTTCTCTCTCTCTATATTATCTTCTCCGTAGTCTTCTTTATCTTTTGATTCTCTGTTTCCTTTTCAATTGTGTTTACAGATTCTTACTTTTAATAAAATAGCTCGATGAAGAAGAATTCCCAAAAGATAGGAAGTGCCGTATGACACATTAAACGCAGCGGCGGACTGAATCGAGGATTGCATCCGGTTGTTTTGATTTCTCAATCCCTCCGTTTAGTCTTCACCTTCATGACCGTACGCGGATCCTAACCCGGGTCCGTTTACGAATCATGTTCGAAGCTGACCGGACCGGTTTTGTGTTTTATCTTCAACCGTACTTCCCACCGTTTCTGTGTTCGCTTCTGTGTGTTTGATTTTAAACGGGTTTCTGAGGGTTTTTGTTGTTTTTGACTGATTGTCCGATGCCACGTCGACGATAGCTTAAGGGCTATGATCGTTGATGCTACATTGGACAGAAACAGATGTTTGTGTTTCGCTATTCTGATAGGAACCTGTAGATCTTTATTCCTTGTGGTCTACGGAGCCATTTCGGCGATTACATTTTTTTTTTTTTTTTGTTTATATTAGTTTTAGTGATTAGTGGGAAGTGAAATTGATGATGATTATTGCTAAAATATGGAATTACCGTCTGAGTTTTAATTACTTTGATGTGAAAAACGCTGGCTTTACTGAGATTGAATTCCCTAATTAATTAAAAAGATTGTTTTTTTTTTGTGTCAATCTGTTGATGTTTTGTTGGGACAGTGACGATTGATATTGAAAGGTCTCGTTCGTCGTAATATTGGCCTTAAAAAAGCCTATTTGCCGACCATTCTGTTATATCACCACCCATATTCTGAGTCCTTTTTGTAAGTTTGTTTTCATTTTTTTTTTGTAATTGGCCGATGATTAAATCGATTAAGACAAGCATATGTCTGAATTATTCAATGTTGATAAGCCTAATCAATGAGGCCGATCTATTAGTTCTTTTGTTGTTTGGTTTAGTAGGAGGAAGGGGTCAAGTGATGAATAGTAATGCATAGTTCAAATGATAATAATCTCCATGATTACAATTTTGTAGCATAGTCTTTCGCTCCTATCTGATGACCCCCTCCTTAATATTTGTTTTTCTTGTCAATAATTATGTTATTTTGATGTATTTGAACTTTGTCATGATTGTTTATAAAAATATATTTTCTTAACATTTTCAAATGAAAATTTGATTTAGTGAACATTTTCAAATGAGAATTTCATTTAGTGATCATGAAGATTTAAGAAGTTGGTTTGATAATGGTTGCTCAACTACTTCCAAGATACTGTAAAAGTCTTCTCTTCTTTAAGACTGCAAGCACGACATTTTTGACTAACCAATGCAAAATATTCATCTGAAATTGCAACAAATTTATTCATATGATTCTCAAACAGATTCGTTTCAGTGGTGGAAACCAAGATTATTTATAGAATTTGGCGGTGAGCCTGATCTTGTGACAATCTCATGTTGATTTATTCATCTTCATATGTATCTTCAGGAGAAGGGTACAAGCTCGTGAGGCTTGGCAAGATCAAAGAGCAAGTCCTTGAAAGAACCCATTAGACTTTTAATCCTCTTCTACTAAGAGGAAGATGATCTGACCCATTGGAAAGATAAAGTACCGACGCATTAAGAGTAAACCCATTGGAAAGTTTTGCGGTTTCTTATTAAACCCATTAAGAGTAAGATTTAAGGGCGTAAAGGAAGTTGGTCTTTTTCTTTATATGCTTGTGGTGTAACTCTTTTGCATTGTATTAATAAAATTAGCTTTTGCAAAATAAATCTCTTTTTGAGCACCTTCAACCACTAGGAAGATCACTCTTCCCATCATTTGAATCCATTCAATATCATCAAAACAAAATTACACAAGGAAGATCACTTTTCATGGGTTGTACTTCTTTTTGGGATGATCAGCTAATTTTACGAATGCAATGAAGTTTCGGAGTTATAAAAATGTTACAATGTAACGAAATTTCCAATAGTTTCCACCATCAACTGAATTCCGAAAATGGCTAGGTTCCACATTTTTGTATGCTATTATACAATGCAATTTCCGAACAAAGTATTTGATAGTTTTTTTCATTTTTGATATCAGTAAATGATATTAAACAAAATTTCCCTTGGCAGAATCTGTTATTAATAATTTGCGTTTGACTGAAACAATAAAGTGAGCAACATCTACGTTACTGAATCCGACCCGTTTGAGTATATGACCCGTGCGACACCAAGACCAAACTATGCTTGTTCCGATGTCGCTTTGTTGCCTTTAGTTTGTCAGTTTCTGCTTCTTGAATTGTGCTTAAAACCTTGTCTTCCTTTTTTCGGTGTTGTTGGTTCAACCGACTCCTTCAGCTTCTCCAGAGCTGAAAAATGAGAAATGATTTAATTCCATCAAAACCAGTATCCAATTCAGGCCATATTCTGTCTTAAAAAAGTTCAGAATACTCAATTTAGTTACATATATAACACTATTATTTATTCATGTGTATATGATGAGTGCTTCCTAGAGCTATATGCACAAGGGTAAGTAAGTTTACCAGGTGCATAAATGGCACAGACAGGATCAAACAAAGGGGATGGGATTCGATACTCTGGGCATGAAGCATTCCTAACTTTCTTCAAGAGATCTGAAAATCTCCTCACCTGAAATTTCATGTATACCAAAAATAGAGCTAGAGTTCAGAACTTAAGAGCATGATAATCAGACTAAGGTTACCTCTAGCTTGTGGTTTATACAAGTAACTACTAGACAAACAAAATAGAGAAAAAAATAATGTTTTGTGTTTCAGCTTACTTCATGATTACTCAGCAATGTGAAGCACCGTCCGGCATGACCTGCTCTAGCTGTCCGTCCAGCACGATGGATGAAGGTCTTTACATGTTTAGGCATGTCATAGTTAATGACATTTGTTACACCTTCAACATCCGTTCCACGAGTCAAAGCATCAGATGAAATAAGAACTTGAATGTCTCCTTTTCTGAACGCCTTTAGTTCTTTGCTGCAATCCAAAAAGTTGAACTGTTATGGTGTTCCAAAGACAGTACATGGCGTTTCAATTATTACCTTCGAACTGCTTGGTTAAGACCACCTGAATACTCTTTTGCTTTTATCATTGCGTCACCGAAAAAGTTAAGTAGCTTGCATAGACGACGAGTTGTCTCAACAGAAGATGTGAATACGATACACTTTTCACCTTCCATTGATTTTAAGAGAGCAACTAAGTATACAGGCTTCAGCCCGGATTCACAAATCTGTTAAAAGACATCATGGGAATCAAAATTTAGAGATAATCTTTTTGCAGATAAATGCAATGTTTAAGCACCAAACTTCACAGAGGAAGTACATACCATTTGAAGACATTCCAACTTCTCGGGTAGTTTGTATCGGGTTCCTCCAGTTGTCATGAATATAGGATGATGCAGGTCAAGCTGAATAAGCTTGCTTGGGTCCTGTGTCAATGTAGCTGATAACGCCATCTTCGCTAGCCTTGGATATGGTTTACCCTTGAAACCTCTCTCCACACTTCTGAAATTTTGAAGAACATGAATCACTTTTAATCACATGGTTCAGTTATTATGCCTATGGAGATGCTAGAGAGATGGAACTCACTGTCTACGGATAGTCTGCAAAGAACCAAAACCAGAAGGAAGAAAAGGTATAGTAGATGAAGGAAACAGGCCATCATCAGATGCTTGAGTCAGTTTCAGAACAGTTGGGAGCCAGTCTTGATATGACTCCCTAAGCAATCTATCGGTTTCATCAACAACCTGAAAAAACAAATAACCTTCATCAAACAAAAATTCAAAGCTAAGAAAGGAAAGTTCAAAGTGTTTCTTCTTACAAGGTAACGCAAATGCTCAAGAGTAAAGCCCTTTGTGTTATTGATATGATCCATCAACCTTCCTGGTGTTGCTACCAATATATCAACAGCACTACTCTCAAGATTCCGTGACATATCCTCAGGATCATAACATATCCCTGCATCAAGTTTAGGTGTTTTAATGAGCTGCGCGATGTCGCCGGCTATCGAAGATTGACCAACAGCTGAACCAACAGATAACCCCACAGATGGTGCTATACTATCAAAAACAGCCTTAACCTAATGTCAAAAAAAGGACAACCTCTCAGTACACACCATAATGCTTTAAAACCAAGGCATAAGAGTGGGAATATTATTATATACCTGCAAGGCTAAATCACGAGTGGGTAATACGACTAAAGCACGGAGACATCTAACAGCACGAGATGAAAGTGTCTGGACGATTGGTAAGGCGTAAGAGAGAGTCTTTCCACTTCCTGTTGGAGAGTTAACACAGATGTCTCTTTGGAAACCACCTGGTCCTATTGTCTCGTGCCAAACTGCAACTTGCACTGGAAAGAGTGATGATATACCCATATTCTCCAAGGCCTCCTTTAAACTATTAACATCAGAAGATTTAGAAACCAGAACTAAAAACCATTCAGCACAAAACAGAAGACTTGATGCAAGAAGTAGAGACAAGGAACACATAAACAGCTTGTGGGCTATGCTCAATTTAAATGCTTTTCTCTATACTAAGCTAGACAAACGGTTGTGTTTTTGCAAACACATGGTAAGAAAATTTTAAGCTTTAGTTTGCAGCTTAAAAGAACATTACTATGAAAGTTTTCAGAACAGAAAAGGAAGGGAAAGGTGTTATGTGGGCCATAGTAGGAGACAGAACAATACGAGGAATACATAAACAGCTTGTGGGTTATGCTCAATTTAATTTCTTTTACAAAGTGTTGTGTTTTTTTCGAACACATGGTAAGAAAGTTTTGAACTTTAGTTTGCAGCTTAGAGAACATTACTATGAAAGTTGTTCATAACGAAAAAGGAAGGGAAAGGTGTTATGTTTTTTGATTGGGGTAACCTGGGATGAAGGCAAGGGAGGGATTCGAGTGAGCAGCTATCGACATTGCTGACGTTAACGGGAGCTCTCATCCATGGAACCACCAATTTGGTCTCTTCTTGGGCCTCACCATCTTTCTCTTCCACCACACTCTGGCCATCTTTCTCTTCCACCATACTATGGCTATCTTTTTCTTCTTCCACAACCATACTCTGGTTATCTTTCTCTTCCACAACCATACTCTGGCTATCTTTCTCTTCCACCATACTCGCTTAAGTTTGATGGAGAATGTCTATCAATTGTGAGTCGGTTGTTAACCGTGGCGTCTTGTATCAAATAGCTCAAAAACTCGGATTTTTAAATTTATAAAGTTTCAAATCACAAATTAGGTTAAAAATACAAAGAAATCAAGTTACGACAGTCCAAAATCGTGAAGAAGAAAAAAAGACAGAGGCGGAAGGTAGGGTTTCAGCCCGACATAACTAGGGAAAAGAAGAGGTTATTTAAGTCATTTGCTTCACTAACGTAAAAAAAGAATTAAATATTTAAAAAGAAAACATCACCAGATATGCTCTGGTGTGGTTTCAGCCGTATCCGCCACAACATTTTTTTCTGTGTGGCAAGGATAGACACTTAGAGTCTAGATTAGATTCTTCCTGAACGAAATGAAGCAGTAGTGACAGGGGTTTTAAGTATCATTCGTGATCAGCGTCATCAGTTATACATCGCCAGATATGTTCCGGGGTGGATTTACCACCTTCTCGCATTGGAGGCTATTTCATAAAGAGTTTGTTTGGTGAATCTCTTTCCATTTTGTTATAATATCTAATGACATTCCATTGTTCCTTCCCTTTTGTACCGGGTTCTTCTAATGTTGTTTTTTGTCACAATGTTAGTGTTATAAAAAAAACATAATCCCCAGTTACTCCTCAATTTTTTTTATAAGCGTAACGATAAATCTAAACTAATTTCTACTTCATCCAAATCCGAGCACGTCCAGTAATACTGGGGAAGATGATCAGGACGGACACTCAAAGCTCGAATTCCATTACCACTAATCATAAATTAGGTAAAAATATATATGCAAGAAAGAGATTTGAATTCCTCCTCAATTATCTTTCAACTCGCTAAACCCAGACCGTCTGCCTTGTACATAACGCAATCTTGAACGATATTGACTATGTGTAAAGGTCAAAAATAAAATTTTGCAAAAATAACAAAGATTTAAATAAAAAATACAACGATTTCGCCCAATCAAAATCGAAAATCCTAGCATATATTCGATTCACGTCAATAAAAAAATTCTAAAGAATGAATTTCTTGTCTCTTTGATTCATGTAAAATACGTTTCTACATGATTATAATAACAGATCTTTCAATTTTATTTCATTTCTATTGGATCTGCCACATAGAACCATATACTACAAAATATTGGACTATAGTTACAACTTCACCAAAAGTCCAAAATTATTTGGGGTTAAAATAAATACGCTATTTGGGGTTAAAATAAATACGTGCTAAAAATTGGACTATTATATGAATCCTCAAAACATATATGTGGCTATTTTTGAACTCGTACAACTAACTGAACCATATTTGTAAATTATCAAAACTATCGGGAGTCGAAAATAAATCTCCAACTCAGAGTGAGAGTGAGTGACAGACTTTTGAGTTGAACTTGAAACGTGGAGTGAAGAGTAGAAAAAAAAAATGTGGCGCCGGAGCTTCAGCAGCACCACGACGACTCTGAATCAGCTGACTAATAAGAAATGGGACGCGTTAGTGATCGGCGGAGGCCACAACGGTCTAGTAGCCGCAGCTTACCTAGCACGCGGCGGTCTCTCAGTCGCTGTCCTCGAGCGACGCCACGTCATCGGCGGGGCGGCAGTGACGGAGGAGATCGTTCCGGGATTCAAATTCTCGCGTTGCAGTTACGTGCAGGGGCTAATTCGTCCATGCATCATTAGGTTTTTTTCGAATACCTTTTTTTTTGAAATATATATATGTTTTGATTTGGTGTGTAGGTAGGTCTCTCTGATTACGGACTTTTGATTGAGTTTAGAGATTTGGAGTTGGGGAAACATGGACTTAAGCTTTTGAAGAGGAGTCCTGCGTCGTTTACGCCTTGTTTGGATGGGCGTTATCTTCTTCTTGGGCCAGATCAAGGGCTTACTCACTCTGAGATCTCTAAGTTCTCGAGGAATGATGCTGAAGCTTACCCAAGGTTGATCTTGTTTCCTAGTTTCGGCATAATTAGATTTTTTTTGATTAATATGGATATCCTGAACATATGACTAATCCTAAAGAGAGGTACAACCAGGATCGACCCTGAGTCAAGCCGAATGAAACATTGACCTTAGGTCTCCAATTTTTTTTGAAAAAAATATCATGTACATAGGTCCGCTAAAATAAATTTTTTAGGCCTTCAAATCCGTTAAAAAAAAAATTAGGTGAAATCATTAAAAAATCGCCTTAAACCCCTAATTGTCAGAGCCGGCCTTGGGTGCAGCCCACGGATAGAAAGTCTATCGGTTATGCAAATGGTAATCAAAAAGGTGGTTTTACCTCTTTGCCGGGAAGCAAAGCAATGTAAATGAGAATTGAATCCAAATGACTGAGTGTCTACTAGACACTCTTTTTACCACTAGACCAACAGCTTGTTGGTTTAATAAGATATTTGATTCACTAGTTAACTTGTTTTTTTTTTTTAATTTGCATTTGCAGATACGAGAAGCAGCTAGAGAGGTTTGGTAGGTTTATGGATACTCTTTTGGATGCAGCTCCGCCAGAGTCTCTGCAAGGGGACGCTTCTTTTAATGATAAGCTGAGTAATAAGGTGCACAAGTCTGCTTTCTGGGCTCGGTGTCTTCGGCAAGCAGCTTCTTTGGGGCAAAAGGATATGGTGTATGAGTTCTTGTCTCGTAATGTGATTTGCTGAAAGCCTCCATTGTTTTGTATGAATGTCGACCCTTTGATGCGTTTGTGTTGTTTTGTTGTTGTGAAGGGACTTCATGGATCTTCTATTGGCCCCAGCTTCAAAAGTTTTGAACAACTGGTTTGAGGTGGGTTTCGAACATTACCACGTATTGATCCTACAATTAGCAATTAGTATTGGTAGTGTCTGATGTTATACGGTTTTTGTTGGTCTGATGCTTGCAGTCTGATGTCCTGAAGGCGACTCTTGCAACAGATGCTGTGATTGGATCTACGGTAATTTGCTTTCCTAATTTAGATCTTGAGCTTTGAGGTTTCTTTCTTGATATAGTTATTATTGTTAATCTAATGGAACGGGGAAAGGTGAGAGAGACGCTTCTTTACGTTGAGGAACCTAGTCAATAGTATATATGGGAGTTAATGTAGTACTCTGAAAATTGATTGACAGGCCAGTGTCCATACTCCTGGAAGTGGATATGTTTTGCTACATCATGTGATGGGAGAAACAGATGGAGAGCATGGCATTTGGTCGTAAGTATTCGAGATATCTTATTGCATTTTCGTCTATATAAATTGTTAATGTAGAAATAGTGGTGTATGTTTTACATTAGTCCGGATGCGTATGCAATAGAAGAAATCTTTTTTACTTGATAATAATAAAACATGCATCCTCGCCAAGGGTGAATAAAGGGTGCACGATAATCTTTTAAAGTAAGGTTTAGTAGTTGATAATAAATATTTTGTAGTTACGTAGAAGGTGGGATGGGCTCTGTCTCAATGTCTATAGCCAATGCTGCAAAGGAAGCTGGTGCTCAGATTTTCACGAACGCAGAGGTATTTGTTTTCCAGATCATTTTCAGGGCAATTCATGTTCCTACGTTATGCGTAACAGTGGAATTATAAGTTAAAGTCTCTCTTTTCGGAAAGCAAAATAGCTTAGACATTCAACTTTACTTTGCAGGTTTCTGAAGTATTGACTGAGGATTCTAGCAGCGTGAAAGGGGTAAGCTTTTCTGTAATGATTCCTGGATGAAGTGAAAACTTGAATCAAACACATCTGACATTATCTGGTATAAGGTTTTGCTTGCTGATGGAACACGGGTGGAGTCATCGGTTATATTGTCCAATGCAACCCCTTACAGAACTTATGTGGTAAATCTTTTCGTGTATGCTTGCGAAACTCCATTTTATGTCAGTCTACATTGAGGTTCTCTGTTTTGGATAACAGGAGCTGGTTCCGTCCAATGTTCTTCCTGAGAAGTTCGTCAGTGCTATAAAGAACTCAGATTACAGCTCTGTAAGCATTTTTATAACCCATTTAAGTTCCTAATCCTCACGACACAAGAAAGATAAATCTCTACTTAAACCAAATAGTTTTTGATTGCTTCATCTAGATAAGTATATTGGTGATTGATTGCTGTGAACAGGCAACTACCAAAATAAACATGGCTGTTGACAAGTTACCGCAGTTCCAATGCTGTAACACTAATCATGCGGAACCAGGGCCAGAGCATTTCGGCACTATACACATTGGTGCAGAGACGTATGCCTCATGCTAATTTTGATCTTTAATTTTTTTTTTTTTGTATCTCCAAGAACAAATGAAAATATTATCTCTGGCTCTGTCAGCATGGATGAGGTTCACTCAGCATGTCATGATGCTGAAAACGGCTTACCATCAAGAAGACCAGTGATCGAAATGACTATTCCATCAGCACTAGACAATACCATATCTCCTCCAGGCACGCTTATTCTCCTTTTACTTGTGTTTAGTCAAAAATAAAATGCATTTTAGCTCTGAATGTGATTTTGTGTACAGGGAAACATGTAATCAACTTGTTCATCCAGTACACTCCTTACAAGCCATCAGATGGAAGCTGGGAAGATCCTGCGTATCGAGTAAGTTAGTTAATAGAGTCTCATCTAACGTCATTAATCTTACTACTCAAATTTTATTTTCCGTATGGGACGTTTACCAGTTTGTTTGTGTCAAATTAGGAGGCATTTGCACAAAGATGTTTCAAATTGATTGATGAATATGCACCTGGGTTTAGCTCATCCGTCATTAGCTACGATATGCTCACTCCTCCCGACCTAGAGCGGGAAATTGGCCTAACAGGTACGTTATGTAGTGAAATTTTTGTGTTTAAAAGGTAACTCCAAACCATATTTGACATCCACACTATCTATATTCTCTAGGTGGAAACATCTTTCACGGTGCCATGGGACTAGACTCTCTCTTCTTGATGCGACCAGTGAAAGGATGGTAAAATCTAAACCCATACTTCTCACAACTCAGAAACAGTCTTTTACCATTCATGATGATTCAAACATAAAATGTGTTAAAAATGTGACACAGGTCGAACTATAAAAGTCCTTTGAAAGGACTCTACTTGTGCGGAAGTGGAGCTCACCCTGGAGGTGGAGTTATGGGCGCACCGGGAAGAAACGCAGCTCTTGTTGTTCTTCAAGACTTGAAATCTTGAGACGTCAATGTTAACTGTATCTGTTTCCGACTCTTTGACTACAAACTTTTAACTGTTGCTTTAAATACTTCGCTCTCTCTCTTGGTGAGGACAGATGTGTTACTACCCAATAAGAAGCCTCCACGTGTATACTTACCAAAAAAAAGCCCTAAAACAACAATTACGAAAAGTGATAAATAAATACAACGGCGCCGCAAAATAACAATCAAATCTTCGATGGAAACTCTCTTTTCACTACGAGACGACGATGAGGAGAACGGCGTAGACGAAGCTAAAATGCTCCTCATCGGAGACAACGGCGAAACTTTCTCTCCTCTGCGCGACGGTGCATCGGAGCTCCAGCATTACAACATCAGCTCCCTCCAGTCAACGGTCGTGATTCGTCAGCTGACGTCACAGGGACTCTCCTTCCAGCTCTGGCCAGCCGCCTCTACTCTCGTCTCCCTTCTCGACAACCACCGCCGTGACCCTACCACCAGCCCCCTCGCCTCAACGCTCTCCTCCACTTCGCCGACGATGAACATCCTCGAGCTCGGATCCGGAACCGGCGTCGTCGGAATCGCCGCGGCGATCACTCTCTCCGCCAACGTCACGGTGACGGATCTCCCTCACGTCCTCGAGAATCTCAGGTTCAACGCGGACGCGAACGCCGAAACCGTCGCGAGATTCGGCGGGGAAGTACACGTGGCGCCGTTACGATGGGGGGAGGATGGTGACGTGGAGGTTGTTATGGGGAGGGGAGTTGATTTGGTTGTTGCGTCTGATGTTGTGTATCATGATCATTTATATGAGCCGTTACTGAAAACGCTGCGTTTTATGGTGACGAGGATGCGGTTAGATGGGGGGAAGAGGTTGGTGTTTGTGATGGCTCATTTGAGGAGGTGGAAGAAAGAGTCTGTGTTTTTTAAGAAGGCTAGGAAGGTTTTTGATGTTGATGTTATATACTCTGATGAGCCTAAGGAGGGTGCAAGAAGTGGCGTTATGGTTTACCGTTTTGTTGCGAAACAATTGAATCAAAATGGTCGGATTGTTTCGTGTTAATTTTGCAAGTTTTCAGGGTTACTTTCCTTTGATGAAATTTCTCAAATGTGTTTGATCAAAAGATTTTCACAGTTTGGTTACTCTTCTATCACTTCGTTCAGGGCTCTTTCAACATCTTGGAATGGTTGTCCAGAATACTGAATACTGTGTTAGCTGCCTCTTCTTCACTGCAATCACATTCTTAGCAACAGAACTATTCTTTGAAAGAGAAGAGAAAACAGCCAGTACTGACTCATAATTTATTGCAAATTAAAAAGGCAAACAAACCCAATTAGCATTTGTACAAACTGCCAAGAACAACGCTTTGTTATACTTATACATTATAACAGCACATAGAGAAGCTTCAGCCTCCGAATTCCACTCTGTTTCTCGGACTGTCTCTCCTTAACTCTTCTCATCTGTTCTTGATTTTTCCACATTGGCCTGAGGGTGAAGTCCAGAACCAGCTTTTCTTGACTTGATAACTTGTTTCCTGAGTAGCACCTAAAGATAGCTGAGGATTGCAAGTTACGTATTCTTCATGACTAATTCTAATATTACCACCCTATGGCTAACAATCTCATAACGGCCCATCTTTTTTATTCCTGCAATCAAAAACCAAATCATCAAATGTTTTGTACTTATTAAACACCAAGATTTTGCAGGATCATGCATTTATTCTTCAGCATTTTTCTCATCATCTCTTAGTTTACTAGCATTGCCATTTTTGCTCATTACTTCCACCAAAACCTTTCACATGTACTTCTCTAACATCAATCTCTCTATCAACATTTCTAGATTCATCAAAGTATCAAACCTATCTACTTGTAATCTCAACAACCCTCTTCCTCTATAAAATTCAAACGCACAGTCGATAGAGTTGCACCGGAAAGCCGTCATGGGTAGCCAGAGATTCTTCCAGGCCAAAACATTCCGCACCACACTATTTGAAACAGAAAGAAGAAAATAACAAATAGACCCCCAAACCTTTTAGAATATTCCGTATATTCCCTTTTCAAATTTGAAATTGTCAAATTGACCCAATTTCATTACTTGAACGCAAAAAGTTCAATTTTGTCTCGAGCCGCTCGTTGTGTTGTGTGGAGACTCTTAACTCTATGTGTCCCACTACTCTTCCACACCAATCACTTCCACAGCCACCACAAGCTTGCAGATAATAAACCCTCACAAAACCCTACAAACCTTATCAGACAAACAGAAAAACACAAAAAACCTCTTTTTATTGCTTCTTCCTTGTTCGTTTTCCGTTGTTCTGTTCTGTCTCTCATTAGATGCTTTTTTTTAATAACAAAACTATAAAAAAGAGAGTGTAAAATGGAGCGGGAGAAGCAGCTTCGTGGTATTTCAATTATTGCTGCAGAAGCGGTTAATCCGGAGAAGTCTCGAGGAATCGCGATTCCTGCGGTTAGAGCGGTCGTGGCCGATGCGTTGCTTCTTACACGAAGTCTCTCTGGTACGTTCTCATCTGCTGGTTCTGTTCCAATTCGTGCACCAGTTACGCTTGACGAGGAAGATGATGATGATGATGATGATGGTTCTGTTACTGAGGAACGTAACTTAGACGATAGTGGTTACAGTAAAGGGATTGATTCTGGGAGTGATGATGGGTTTGAGTCTGTTACTGGGGATGCAGAGGAAGAGGGTTTGGTTATGGATGAGCTTAGGGCTCATGGGGTTGTTTTAGGGGAAGAGTCAGTTGGAGAAAATGGAGATGGAAGTGATTTTTCAGGAGGGAGTGTTGTGTTGGGGCCACTTGGAGGAGGTGATGTTGAAGAGGAAGCTTCGGTGAATAAGTCTTCTTTGGAGGAAGAGAGTGAGAATGAAGTTAGTGAAGCTGATGAAGATGGTATGAAAGCTAAGGTAGTCATTCCCCGGGCCAGTTTGTCTTTGGAAGATGATGAGGTTTTGGGTGGTGGTAGTGGTGATGAAGAGACTGTTTTGATGCGTGTCACAAGGGCTCCCGGTGATGAAGAAGGTGAAGTTGAAGATAGGATGTTGGAATTTGAAGATGTTGGAATGGTTGATGAACCAGAGTACTCAGGTTCTGTTCTAACTGATGTCGTTTCAGAGGATGAAGCTGTTGAGATGAAGGTAACAGGTCTGTTAGAAGATGGTTCTAATGATCTTATGGTGGAAAATGAGGCGAGTATAGGCTTGGATGGAAGCTCTAAGCAACTCGTTGAGGAAGGGGTTGTTAATAGAACCACTATCAAGGAGGATGGTGGTGGTGGTAGCATTCATGAATCTGACGCGTTGATGGAGCCAGGTGATGTAGAAGGAGTTGGAGATAATGCAGTTGAGTTAGGAGAAAGGGAAATGACTGTATTATCAGAGGGCTCAGGCACTGGTACAGGTGAACTTGTTTCCACTGAGGAGGATATGGTGCAAGTGAATCCTTCTGATGATGCTTCGGTGTCCTTTGAGACTGGTTTAGTTGTTGCGCCAGAAGATTGCAGTGAGTTTGTGGTGGAAAGTCAAGGAAACGCTGTAGATGCGGATGAAGGGTTAGATGAAACTTACAGCAAGCTTGTGGAACAAGGGGTAGGTCAAGAAAGTGTCAGCAAGGAGAGCGATAACAAGGTTGTTGATGGTAGTGCTTGTGAAGTAGATGAACCGGTGATTCAAGGTGAAGAGTCTGTTGGATTAGGAAGCAGAGAATCAGAGGATGAAGACACTAGATTTATGATAGGCGAGGGAAACGAACTCACTGAAAATGCTTGCAGTGCTGTTGGAAAATTAGAAAAACCGGAATGTGAGGAAGAACTTGAAATTGGTATGACTTCTGAAAGTTCTCAAGTGACTCCAACAACTGTGGATTCTTCTGTAACGACGAAAAACCTTGAGATCCCTCAAGGGATGGATGTTGCTGTAAGTGGGTGTGATTCTTCCAACCAAAAAGATGGCCAAGAGACTGAGAATGAAGGAACTCAAGAATCAGAGGATATTGATATGAAGTTATCACTTCCTGATGAAGACAGAGCTTCAAGTTTAAGCTCCTTTCAATTGGCCAATCAGAGTGTGGAAGATGGGGAGCAGATTGATAAGCAAGTCAGTTTTCAGTCTGTTAGTGAACTGAATCAAATCTCAGTGGCCATAGAAGAAACCAGCTTGGTTTCGGTTAAGGATGTTGAGAGAACCATGCCTGAAAATTCTTGTGTAACGGAAAACGAGACGCAGATATCACAGCTGATCCATAATGACACTTGTATGGAGCTTGACGACTACGAAGGAACATGTGATACAAAGGAGAAACACTCTGAACCCACTTTCCAAAATCATTCTGAAGAATCATCCTCTGACCATTCTCTACAGCTGATAAGTGGGAGAGTGAAGGAAAGAATTGAGAAGACCAAGCTCATAAAAGAAAAGATCCAGAAAATTATAAAAGGAATAGATCTTTGCAATGAAGATTCACCTGTTACTGAAGATGAGTCTCAGGAGAGCCTAGTAAGCGAAGAGCATCACACGTCCTTAGAGCTTGATGATCACAGAACAAAGACAAACCTGCCTGAACAAGAGTTCCCACTTGATCTAGACCTCTCCATCAACGTCCTTGTCATCGGAAAAACCGGAGTAGGGAAAAGCGCAACGATTAACTCCATCTTTGGGGAGACTAAATCTGCTGTCAATGCATTTGAAGTTACCACAAAGTCTGCACACTACGTAGTTGGGAATGTAGGAGGGATCCTGATAACAATACTCGATACACCAGGTCTCTTGTCCTCTGCGACCGAGGAACGGTATAACCAGGAAGTGCTCATGAAGATAAAGAAGAGCATGAGAAGGTTCCCAGTTGATGTCGTCCTCTATATCGACCGTCTAGACGAGAATCCAGACATCCGTTTACTCAGAACCATCACCACTTCTCTAGGCTCAGCAATATGGCAAAATGCTATCGTGGTTCTAACTCACGCAGCTTCTGATGTTGTCTCAGATTCTTCAAGCTACATTGCTCAGAGATGTTCTCTTATGCATCAAGCAATCAGAGAAGCAGCTCCAGAGTTGAGCTGTGTTGAGCCGAGCAAGATGCCTGGAATTGTTTTGGCGGAGAACAGGAAAACTACTTGTCAGGATTGGAGATTGAAACTACTGATCTTATGTTGCTCTGTTAAGATCCGGTGCAAAGGTGAGCAGAGTAATACACTTGTGGAAAAGCCTGATGGTTTTGGCTCTTTCACTTTGTTCTGTTCCTTGTGGAATGTGTTGGTTCTTGGTTCTAACCAAGGACAAGCTTGTCATTCACTTGCTGAATTGGAGGAACAGAAAAGGCGTTTGCTGGAGTCATATCCTGAAATCTTCTGGGACGAACAGAGTCTGGAGCAGGAAACGCTGAAGAATCAAGACGAGGAGAGAAGACATGAAGAAGAAAGTGTGAGAAGAAGAGGAAGAAGAGGAAGCTTTGGATTCCAAGCTACGAAAAGGTTGGGTATCTATCTCGATACATGTGATGTGCACACAGGGTTTTCAATGGGGAGCAGTCGCAGTGGAAAGGTGGAAGCAGAGGAAGGGAAGATGTTGGTGAGGATGAGAAGCTCGTTGTCTGTTTTAGGTGCGGTTCATTTGTTGGCGTCTGTAATAACTTATGTCTACGGTCGGAAAGGTATTTAAATTGGTGTAAGTTGTAGTAGAATTTGTAACAACATATCTGATTATATGAGTTTCTGTGTATACTATTGATGGCCACAAGACCCTTTCTGTTTGATATGAAATAAATGTTCGGTACAGATTTGGTTTGACTCGGTTTGAACTAAACCAAATTGGGAATATAGATCTGAATGCCGAAACTTTCGGTATAAAGATTTGAAATTTGAATGACACAATTGATTATCCCCCACTCAATTTAATCATAACGATGCTACTAAATAGGGGTATTTTCGACATTTCAAATAATACTGCAGCTTAAATTTTAAAAAGGCTTTTCTTTCTGTCAGTAATACTACGCATCGCTCATTTCCGTCGTCTCATCGCTTCTCTTTCTCCAAAACGTTCTCCGTCATCCGAGCAGACAGAAAAAAAAACCCTAAAAATGGTAATGCTCATTCCTTGATTTCGATCGATTATCGATTCGTTTAACGAACCCTAGGCCCGTGTTCTCCAGATCTATCGATTGGAATTTCCGGAAAAACTCACGATTATCTTCTGATTATTAGGTTTTTTTTAATATAGAGTCCATTCGCATCGAGCATGATTTACGATCGTGTTTCTTTCGATTAATCATCGAGATTTTGTAGATTAGGAACTTTTTTGTTGTGGATTTAATGTAAAATGTAAAATTTAAGATCTGATGGATGATTTAATTATAAGTATTATTTGTTGGATAAATAGTCTGTGCTTAGGGATTGTTTTATGTATTGAGTTTGTTTCGTGAAATGTTGGTCGCAAAGATAAGCTTCATCCTCCTTTGCTGATTTGTATTTAATAACATTAATTATTCTTAAGAGGGTTCTTTGTTCTGTATGGTGAGTAACAGGATGGGCATGATTCTGAGGATACTAAGCAGAGCACTGCTGATATGACTGCTTTTGTAAGTTTCTTCTCATATCCCATCTCTACTTTGAATTTTTGAGACAAGTTTGTTCACTTTGGTTTTTGTACACTGACTGAATCCTTCTGTTCTTATACGTAGGTCCAAAATCTTCTGCAGCAGATGGTTTGTTTTTTTAGCTTTTGTGTCCTATTTAAGACTTGAAATTACAGCTTTTTGATAGGTAGATTCTGATTCTAGAATTTTTGGTTTCTTTTGTGGGGTTTCAGCAATCCAGGTTCCAGACTATGTCCGACTCCATCATCACAAAGAATATCCTTTTTGTATTATCATTCTATTGCTTTTGCTTTGATGCTGCTTCCATTAAATGTATATTTGAAAATGTTTCCCATTTAGAGCAGGAATAGGAACTAACTATTATCTTAATGCCAGAATAGAGATGTGTCTCTCTCTTTTTCTCTTATTAAAGTATATATCTTGAGATTCTTAGTGTCTAATTCAATTGATAGCATTGCACCATAGGTTTTTATGGTAGGATATCATGTTAAGTTGCTCTTATTCTTCTGCACGCTATACTGTATATATCCTGTGAAGTTATATATGATTGAAATCCGTGGGAACACGAATCACTGGATTTTGTTGATCAGCATTTTGTGTGTGTGTTTGTGACATTGGTTTCGATCTGTTCCTTTCCTTGACTTTGATTGGTTGGTTCACTCGATGACATGGGAGGCAGAATCAACGAGCTGGAGCAAAGCATCAATGATCTCAGAGCCGAGATGGGAGTAGAAGGCACTCCTCCTGCTGCCTCCAAATCAGGCGATGAACCCAAAACACCGCCTAGTTCCACTTGAACACTAATGGTCACATTATCTTTCTGCTTATTGTCTGCAGAAAAGGCTGTTAAATTACTTTCAATATTCCCGTTTCTAAAGACTTGTATTTGAGTTCATCAAAAGGATTGATGGAGGATGTGATACAGTTCAATTGCTTATGATGATTTGCTTTCTATGTTGGTTTTGTGATTTCTGAGAAGTATAATGCTTCAAGGATCTATACTCCGGTTCTGTTCTAGTCAGTGTTTTTAAATCCAACTTCGACCAACAAGTGAACCGGTAAATCTGCTGACCTATATGTAATCCGATTTGGATTTAAAAAAAAAAAAAAAACTCTGATAAAACCTGCAAAAAAACCTGAGACCTGCCTACAATTTAGACTGATGGGCGAGCAGATATGTAATCCTGATTTGAATTAAATTGTTATTTTTAAAGTATTCTAATATATATTTATGATGTTCTAATTTTGCAAAATTATCTATACAATTTTTTAGGCAAACTAATACCCGGTTTATACCCTAGATAGAACCGATGGTTTTACCTGTTAACGAAATTGTTGAAGAATTGTCATAGACAAAAAAGGAGACGTTTGGTTTTAAGATCATTACTAAAGTTGGTTGGTTTTCGCATTGTAATTAAACCACAGTACTAGCATTTTTAGGAGTAACGATACATTCTCAAAGTAGTAGTAGTAATGTTAAGATGATAGAGAAGAAACATTATCATATCATCTAATAATGCTCTGCTTCTTTCGCATTCTCATCATTCATCCGAGCTTCCACTTCCTCTTCTGTAACCTCGCTTTTCTTATCCATTTGCTCTTTTGAATCTTTAGAGTTATCTTGTAACTGCAAGGAGAACAAAAAAAAAATGATGAGAATCATGGAGATTACATACATTTTAGATACTTTTAAGAGTACTGACGCCTAAGCTTTTGAGGCTAGCAGAGACATCATCTTGCTGCTGGTTCAAGGTGGTTTTCAGATCTTTGAATTCCTGAGGGTGTTTTGTGAACAATATTAAGCAAACCAATCAAACATGCGCATCAATATTAGCAAACCAATATTAGATAAGATATGTGCCTGCGGCTCTATACATACCTCACGGAGTTGCTCAACTTCAAGATTGAGAGTCTTCTTCAGACCAGAGAGCTCCTATTAAAGTACCGAGTAAGTAGGTAATATATTTTTTTTCCGAGAAGACAATACGAAAAAATGTATTGAGAAATGGAACTACTGACCTCACGATAGACTTGGACTTGGGTGTCCAGCTTACCTCTCCAACTTTGCAAGTCCTGTGACGATAGTGAAGACACAGAGAGATGTAATGTTGATTTGGTTTAGAAAGAAGATATCAAGAAGAGAGAAGATGGTGATAAATAAATAAAAAACCAACCTGTTTGAGATTCTGGATCCTGTTAAGCAACTCAGCCCTTGATTCGCTCAATTCCTAGAGAGGAAAAAAAAAAAAAAACTCATGACTTGAGAAAAGAGCTTGCCATCATGCAAAAGATTTGACTAAAAGGAGAAAATGGGTGGAAAGCAAAGACAGATACGTACAGTGAGCTTGGAATCAACAGGAGGACTGGTGATTTCTTTCTTCTGCAGAATAAGAGAAGATCAACATCAAATTTCAGTTTAACCAAAAAGGATAAGAATTAACCAAGTCCATAAACAAAAATCATGAGTATGTAATATAAAGGTGAAATTGTTGATTAATCAATTGCAAAGAAAACAAAACCACAAATCCATCACCATAAGATAAAATAATTTACAACTATTTCAAAAGAAAAAAAAAAAACATGAAGAGATACAAAACGATGGACAATAAGCACGAAATTTAAAATAAATATTTGCAAGTGTTTCAATCAATGTGAAGCAGAATATGAGATTGTAACACTTACTTGTATAGTAGATAGAATTTTACGGTTAAATCCTCAGTAACAATAATAACAAAGTTGAAATCACAGGCAAAAAAAAAAAGGGAGAATAATATCTACGGAGTTTGCAGACAAAACACACAGGGATCATCATCTTAGTTCCGAAATGTCTCACACAGTTTATCCCAAACCCTAGATTAACTTAATTATACAATACCAAATCCGACAAATTTCAATTTCAGACAACCTCGCGTCCATTTAATCGAGAAAATAAAAGCGATTAGAGAGCAAATGGGAGAAGGAGAGAGAGAGATTACAGGAGAGGATGCGGAGACAAGAGCCGGTGGAGATGTTGAATCGGAGGTTTGGTCCGCCATTCTCTATGTTCTCACCAAGTTTCTCTGGCTAGGGATTAATTGATTGAAGAAATCGGTTGAGGAAGACCAAAGAGGAAGATGTATTAACTAAAAGAGATTAGTAAAGTGAGAAGCAAACAAACTCGAGACTATTTAGTGATGTTTGTTGGGAGCGTTGTCTCAAATTTCAAACATTAACAACAACAAAAAAACTAAAAAATAATAATTTATCCATGTGATTGTTTTTTTTTTCCAATACTCTGTTGCAAAAATAAGATATTTGAGATGTCTAAATCCAGATCCGTATAGTAAAATTTCAAATCCCTACAAATCGAATCCGAATCCAAATATTATAATTTTTAAGTTGGGATATTCAGATCCATATTTCAAAAATATATTAATTTTTAATTTTCTTAATAATTATATTTGATATATTAATATTTATACATATAAAAATTAGTTTTATAAAGTTAAATTTTAATTTTTAATAATATTAAATGTTATACTCTTTCTCGTTTTTTCTATTTCATTTATTCTAAAGAACTAAAAACTCGTGCTTTTGATGTCCACAACAAGAAAACCAATGTATCGTATGTGTTAAGCAAAGCACAAGCCAGCTACTTGGTGTAAGGAAGAGAAGCAATAAAAGAGAGAGTAAAAGGAGATGTGGACTTCCCAAACATTGAGCAATATGTTGGAAACCTTTCAAGAACCCTCTGCACTTGTGGAGTGACACGATCAAAGTCAGTTCTCAGTTTCAACACAGGTCTCTCCACCTTCTCCTTCTTCTTCTTCCTCTCATCATCCTTCTTTTCGTAAAGCTTGAGAACAAACTTTGTCGACGCCTTTTTCCCACCAGAGAATTGAATCTGATGCCATCCTTCTTCCCCGCTGCTCTTCTCCCCACGTCCTATCATCAACTCTCCATCCCCCTCCTGCTCGCCTACTTGCAGTGTGAAGTCTTCTACTTCCTCCATATCAATCCCAAGAATCCACCGCGTTGACCCTCCTGTCTCCATAGAAACAGTTATGACTCTTCTCTCGTCTTTTTCGTCGTTTACCACACGCAGAACTGGAATATCGCTCTTGTCCCATCCAACCTCGGTGTCCTTCTTGCTCACACAACTGTACTTAGTTTCGAAACTGACGAAATCTACCTTGTTTTCTCTCCCACAGTTGAACCCTTCATTAATCTGCTCTGCTTCCACTTTCAGGTTTCCAGGAGTGTTTGAGAACAGTGTAATGAACGAAACTGAATCTCCCCCGGTTGTATCCACAACATGTACTACCTATACATGTTTACAACCACATTAAAGAACTTCCACTGAAACGAGAAAATCAAAGGGACTACTTACATTCACTGCTCTTGCAGTGTCCTCAGTAAATGCAGGAAGAAAACCAGAAGATACAAGAGCGAGAGAGAGGGTAGTGACAATGCATAATACTGTGACAATCGACCTTTTTGAGCCTGGAGACATGTAAGTTTGTCAACAAAAGTTATGCTTAATCAAGTAAATTTTTTTTAAAAATAACTGTGATAAGTGAGGTAGAGAATTACCGGAGAGATGAATATAGGCGAGGAGGTATACCATAGTCAGACTTACGAAAGTAGCAATAACAACAGCGATCACCACATTGCCTAGCCATTCTGGACTTCCACCTGGGTTCCTACACTCCAAAAAATACCCAAAACAACAGCTAACAATATAAAGTCTGTTGAAGCTAAAAAAGAAAGAGATTCACATAACCATTAATTCTCATTACAGCAACCAAGATTGCACAGCTGCGTGCTACAAACTAATTATGGTACATGGATTCACTTTTCAATAGTATTCTAACATACTGGGAACATAACTAGCAAAGATACTATTATTTATTGTTCATACATAGTATGTATCAAGCACCACACAGTAAGGCGGTTACCTGTCAAATCGAATAAGCATGCCGACCATTGTGCCAGCTAACCGGATAAAACTGCCAGCTGAAACCAAAATTGGTACAGCCAAGCTGATAACGAGAGTTGCAAGTTTCAGGGGCTTTGGGAATCGGATTGGAGTTAAAGTCGCCTCAAGCAATCCATCTGGCCAACAACCATTCGGTTTGAGTAAGTTAAGCTTAGGAAAACCCTTTTTATATAAAAAAAAAATAGAGACAGCAAAGAATAGCTTACATGCAAATGCAGGAGGAACTAGCCAAACCAGAGCGAGGTAAGTGGAACCAAGTTTGTAATAGGTTCCCACGACCAGAAGAACAAACCACTGTATAAAACCAGCTTTAAACAACCATCTCTCAGCCTCTAACTTAGCCAAGTTATCCCGTAGTGTTGGTGAGAGTTCCATATTGTTTGAATTTCTGTTTGATGGTTTCTTCCGAAGGAAACTAAAGACCAAGTGCTGACCACTTATTGACCCCAAAAGCGCAGGCGACACAAACAATCCAATTGTCATCAAAGGGTATGAAGCATAAGGCACAGGTGATGAAGAGATCCAGGGGAGTATGAAGGCAACAGCTACAGAGAAAGCTACTGAGAATATCCATGCGAGGATAAAACTCAAACACGACAACATCACCGACACAACAGCAGGGTAACCACCCATGAGCAAAGACATAACCCATATAAGCATCGATTGCATGATCACTGAAACATACATCATTGTCGCAAACTTTTGCCGGTATACAACCATATACTTCCCCTGAAAATTTGACAATAGGAGTAACAGGAAAGACATTAGGACATGGTATAATAGATAATGAAAAAACATAAATAGTTAGTTCTGAAATCACCAAAATGTCAAAATAGATAGCTGAGTCCGAGTTCGATGTCTCGAGTGTTTTATCCTTTGGCAGATCAGAAGATGAACCAGCACGAAGGAGGAAAGCAAGCATATTTTCACCAAGATGTTGGAGAGATCCTGGTTTTATCAGATCTATCTTATCATTCTGCAACGCAAAGCAATAAAATATTACACATCTAAACAAGAAGAGCAACATTCAATAACAAAAGAAAAAGGGAAGTAACCTTTGTGTGATAGACAGCAGTGTTATCTGCAAAAGCAAAGTCCAATCCTGAGAGACCAGCAACCTCCTTGTATACTTGAAAATCAGTCGCAGATTTTATGACTCCAGAAGTAAACAGATCCTGTCATAGTAAAGCAAAGACATATAGATGCATATATATATAACAGTAAAGGGGACAAGAAACAACAGTTGAAAAAGTACATACCTGTCCGATGACCTGACCAGATGGATATTTTGCAGCCAAAGCAAAGTTTTCAATAGCCCATGGACTCGGGCCAGCCTGAAAAATACCAGACTTTCCACCAGTTCCCATGGCCTCTAAATCAATAGCTAAACGTACTGTGGAACTCCATGGATGCTGCATCAGTAATTTACAGTGTCAACCAGCAACCAGAAGTTCAGGAATTAAGAGATCTAAAGTAACATAAGGCCATTAAGGTTAATGTATGATCATGCTTACCTGAGTGATAAAGCTATGAGCTCCATTAAGACCTTCTTCCTCTCCAGTATTGAACAAGAAGATAACAGAGTTCTTGAATCCATGAGCAGACTGAGAAACAGATCGAGCTAGTTCCAGCATTACAGCTACACAAGAGCTACAATCTCCAGCCCCACCTCTTCATACATTTAACAAACACACACTTAGCATAACAAAATGGTGATGAAAACAAGAACAGTAATCTAAAAGTCAATTGATAGGAGATAAGGTGACAAGACATACGTTGAGAAGACAGTATCAATGTGAGAGGAGACAAGAATAGCATTGTCTCCTGCATCTGATTCATACTTGGGCATGATTCTCACTACAATGTGACTAATATCTGAATACACAAGTGACTTCCCTTTAAAAAGACCACCCACAAGCCGATTCACACCGGACGCCGACTCGAAGAAATCAACATTCACATCAACATCAAAGTGAGCAGTTTCTTTAACTTTCTCAACTTCTGCCAATACATACTGCAAAAGATAAAAGACTTCAATACACAAAATATTAATGTTCTAAAAATCGCTAGGCTGTGGTTAAGCGTTTTATAGAGAATTATTGGTTAGGCTATGAATGCTAGACTGATTTTTTTATTTTTTTTTTATTTTTTTTTGTCAACCGTCCATCTAAACTAGATCAGGTGGTGACCAGTCGAACCGATTCTCTGAAAAGGATCTCCGTCTGGGCGAGTGGTGACCAGTCGAACCGATTCTCCGAAGAGGATCTCCATCTGGCCGAGTCTGATCTATATGGGAAAATGTATATTCTCTATTCCTTGCTTCTTTTGTTAGCGCGTCTGCTCGACCATTCCTACTTCGGGGAATAGACTGATTTTTATTTAAACAATCATTTCACTCATAACAGATTTGCCGACTAGGTGGGGCCTACACGTCCCTAGACCGATTTTTAGAACACTGAGTAAACCATTTCTAAAACAAAGATAACAAACCTCAAGGGCGTGGACAAGAGCATCAGAAGAAACAGGATGAGGACCAAACTGAGTCAAAGCCGTGACATGTTTCATAGCCTGAATCTCAGAGAAACCTCTTTTGCCAACTTGTTTAGCGGTCAAGGGACGAGGTAGATTCCCATGCTGATGATTGTAAACAGCCCAGGAGGAGTATATGAGGAGGATCAACACTGAGAACCATGTTTTACCCGATCTCCTAACAACATCAACCTCCTTCTCAGGAACATTGTTGTTATCAGTTTGTTGACTTGTGGAAGATGGCTCTGACGAATCTGAAGCCGCCTTGGGATGACGCTTCCTCATCGTGTTTTCAGGATCTGGTAATGGTGAAAACAGAGGTTTCTGATGAGGAATTATAACAAATTGTAATAATACGAATCACTGAATCGGACAGTTTTCGAACCTGAGTGATTTGGTGTCTCCCCGAGTAACAGTGTCTTGTTGTCTTCCTTCTCGGAGAGGAGAAGAAAGAGAGTCGAGACGATGTGATTTTTTTTACTCTGGAAACAACAACAAAATATCCTAATTAGATGATTGATGATTATGTGTAGAGTTGACCTATAATATAACTTTTTCAATTAAATGTAAAATTGTTTGTGGTAGCATTGTTTATCTATTCCTGTAAAATATAGTTCAGTAATGCTACATACCATAATTTCAAGTTTTTAGAAGAAAAAAAATGTTATAGAAAATCTTTAGCATGGTGCAACTTTATACTGTCAATATCTAGATTTCATAATATGACTCATGATGATGTAATCATACATAAATTTTTCATTGAGTAAATAAAATTATCGGATGTAAAATTAATGTTATATAATTTTCTTATAGTTTATAATGACATAATTAACCAAATTAAAAAAAAAAACTCTGCATATATAAAACACTGTAGCAAAATGCCAAATTCTAGTTTCAGTTACTATCAAATGTCATTACCATTCAAATCCTTATAACAAGAGTGTTTATATATGAACCTGAAAACAAATAGAATTCATTGTAAAAAGTTGAACCAATTTGATTTGATTTTTAATGGACAACTAAACAAATTATGTTATGTGGTAATTTGTAAATTAGGTGTTACATGGATCTGATTCAGACTTAAACAAATATCTACATATTCTATTATTTAATAAAAAAATTTATAAATAAATAATAAAAGTTTAATATCTACCAAAAATGCATAATTTTAATATGCAAAACCTTGATTTTTGTTGGCCTTCTAACATTTTCTCTTCAAATTGATAAAATCATTTTTATCTTGCCAAAGCATTTTTCTTAAAAAAAAAACAAATTGTTAAAAGCAAAGGCCAGAAAAAATACTATAGGGATGGGTGAGAGAGATTCGAACGCTAGACCTTTTGACATTTGTATGATTTGGAGGGAGTGAGTAAAGCAAAAAGCGAATTAAAAAATGGAGTAAAGTTTGTGGAGACACGGGAAAACAAAACACTTCTTTACTTTGCAGCAAAGGTAATAAAAAGATCCCAATCTCTCTCTCTCTCTCTCTCTCGGTGGCGACTCAAATGGGACAGGAATCGTTTATCTACAGCTTTGTCGCGAGAGGCACTATGATTCTTGCGGAGTACACCGAGTTCACCGGTAACTTCCCGTCCATAGCTGCTCAATGTCTCCAGAAGCTTCCTTCCTCCAGCAACAGCAAGTTCACTTACAACTGCGATCACCATACCTTCAACTTCCTCGTCGAAGATGGCTTCGGTTCGGTTCCATTCCCTCTCTCTCTCTCTCTCGGTTTCAAACTTTCTTGGGAACAACGAACAGTGTCTTAACTTTTGATGGATCTAGCTCAGTTATTAGCTGAAATTCATTTGCATCATCTTAGAGCATTTTCGTAAACTAGATCCGCCTCTTTTTTCTTTTTTTTTCTTTGAAGATTCGATTGGTAACAGAACACTTTCAGATTCTCCACTTGTGAGTTTCTGTAAGAAACAGTTATGATTTTGCAATAACTTTAGATTAATGGGTTTTCACTGTATAATAGTATAAAGTTTCCATCTTTGGCATGCATGAGAGGTGGGATTTGACTCAATACTGCTGTTCCCAAATTGGAACATGTTTTAACAGTTTCTGAATAGACAGGTTTTAAAGTTTCCATTCGACAGTGGAAGATCGTTGTAGAGACGAGTTTTATTAGTCTGAATAGAAAGCTACTTATGCGGTTTTTTTTTACAATTATCTCGGACAGTTAGATCATTGAAATCTGATATGAATCATGTTTATTAAGCTACACTCTATTAAAAAGTTCCCATTTTTGGTATGCACAAGGCAGGATTTTGACTGAGCTGTGTTGTTCTGTGAATTGGAATCTACCTATTAGGCGCAGTATACTAGTTTAGACAGTGGTTATATATAGCATTGTTATTCAGTGTAGAGTGTACTAGTTACTTGGATCCACTTAGAGTGATAGATCGTTTACTTTTTATCTTTACATGGCACATATAACTGATTAATGCTTTGTGTTATGAGGAGACAATAGTTCTTCCAATATGAAGCGTCCCTTTGAATACTCTTTGACTGTTTCATACTTTATATCTTGCATTTTATTTTGAACCGTCCTTGAAAATGATATATAAATATGTCCTTTTATTATGTTTTTCAGCATATTGTGTTGTGGCGAAAGATGCTCTTAGCAAGCAAATCTCGATCGCGTTTCTGGAGCGGGTGAAAGCTGATTTCAAGAAAAGGTATGGGGGTGGAAAAGCAAGTACAGCTATCCCCAAAAGTCTCAACAAGGAGTTCGGGTACTTGCCTATCTTCAATCCTTTTTGAGGGACTGTAAGAATAATAGATGTGAGAGATTTCAATCTTAACCACATAAAACTGCAGGCCGGTGATGAAGGAGCACATGAAGTATATTGTTGACCATGCAGAGGAGATTGAAAAGCTAATTAAAGTCAAGGCTCAAGTTTCAGAAGTCAAAAGTATAATGTTGGAGAATATTGACAAGGTAATGATTTGGCTCTCATAATTTCGTTTGCAATCTTCTATCATGTGTTTCTTCACTCTTTAGACAACCAATCATTCTCCTTTGGCTCTACTTTTTACAATGATGGGCCTGCAAAAGGCAATTACTATATATATATAGCATGATGTCCCTTAAAACAAAGACAAATCACTATGCACAAAATCATTTATGATTGGTCTGTTCTCAGGCAATCGATAGAGGAGAAAATCTGTCTGTTCTTAGTGACAAGACCGAGAATCTACGCTCTCAGGTAATAGGCAAACTTGACCTTAAAAGCTAAAGTCTTGAAACAATCAGCCACTTTCATTTATGTTTTAGGCGCAAGAGTACAAGAAACAAGGGACACAAGTGAGGAGGAAACTGTGGTACCAGAACATGAAGATAAAACTTGTGGTTCTTGGGATCTTGCTACTCCTTGTTCTCATTATCTGGCTTTCGGTTTGTCACGGGTTTAATTGCACAGATTGAAGACAACTTCAGAATGTGGATGTTAGAGCCTTTGGGGGGAATGGTGTGTCTGAGACAAAAGTCTCCGGTTGAGGGGTAGGAGACTGGGAGAGAGAGGGGCACAGTGATAATTATATTGTAAGGTTTTGACTTTGGATGTTGTATGATAAAAAGTTCTTTTTTTTGGCTTCGGACCATTTGCATCTTATATGTTGCGTATCGATGGGGTTGGAAATGACATTTTATACTTTTACTTTCATCCTTTCCAAACAACTTTTGTTCCGTTAATTTTTTTAAAAAATTGGAAGGAAACAAAAAAACAAACGCCCACCGTGGGGTTCGAACCCACGACCACAAGGTTAAGAGCCTTGCGCTCTACCAACTGAGCTAGACGGGCTTGTTGGCTGGTTAGATTAAGTAAACTATATAGTCAAAGTATACTTTCTTAATCCAAACCAAAGTTGCATCCTGAGCGACCTGTGAAACAATCATGCTTTACTTTGTAAAACAGATTTGAGAGCCAACATTTTATAACAGGAAAATATATTTAGTTTTGGAAAGCAGATTTTCTACAGTTTTTATTTGGTGCTCTAGAAATAATCTAAAGCTTAAACCTTGGAGCAAAATACATAAAGCCACAGTTCTAACCAATCAACACCTTGGGTAAAGACTTAACACCTTTACAGTATTAAGTGTAAAATATCTTCTGGAAGCAACATTCTGGTCTGAACAAATTCAATCTGCTTCCTTGGGTTGGATTTTGAGTTTGCATATTAAAAACTGTAAACTGAGGTTGTCCAATGACTTACAATCTACAGTGTGTTAATTAAAACACAAAGTAAGAACACCCGCAAGATTTTCCGTGGAAGTTATGCAATTTATCTACGCCCGCAAGATTTTCCATGGAAGTTATGCAATTTATCTAGAAGTGAATACAATATCTGGTTCAATAATGGTGTTACAAATTACAAATATGCGTGTTGCATATATATGATAGTCCTTGTGCCTTGTCAAGAGCAAATTTCCATCATTTTGATTTCTTTTGAAGCTTGATTTTGGACTCGCAAAGCAGGATCAATAACAGCAAAATTAAGCTGTTTCCAACACAAATCTGGATCATCAGCTTACAGATTTGAGAATCTCTCATATGTATGTAAACTTTTACCTTTAACATCATAAAAACCGAAACTTTCATAGATCATCCAAGTTCCACAAACTTCGTCACAACTACATATCTTAAACCTCAAAAAAAAATCATAAAACAAGAAACACAACCAAACCCAAGACCCCCAAAAAAAGACAAAACCTTTCCAACATATTTCAAAGCTCATCTTCATCCCTCAAATACTCACCAATATCAGCCTGATGAAGCACAACAATCCCATTCGGATCCAACTTCCGACAATCCTGCGTACTCTTCGCCGCGACCCCAAACCCCAACGGAACATCAGACATCGAAAACACAACAACCCCATCTCCAGGCACTATACTATCAGTAATCCTCCCTAACCCTCCTTTCAACACATGGTTCCCGTACAAAAACGACATCTCCGACGTCGGTTTCAGCCACACTTTATGCTTCGCGTTCGCCGCCAAGACGCTCAACGACATTATCGTCAGGTGGAAGCCACCCGCGTGTGTGTACTTACCTATGCATGTTCCGAGTGAGACGAGGCTTTTGCGGGAGATGTTTGTGGCTCGCTTCACGAGAGACTCGCTTACGTAGTAGACTCTGTTCTTGTGGAGACGGAAGCAGTAGCGGCCGGGGTCTTGTTCGGGTCCTTCGTGAGATGGGTTCTCGACGATGTTCTTGAGGTTGTTTCCCACGAATTTGAAGATCTTCTCGAAGACTACGGTCGTCTCGTTCTCGTCTAACGGCCGCATCTTTTTGGGAAGATAGGAAGCTGAGATTGTGTGTGAGTTTTTTTTTCTAGAGGTTTTAGAGGATTTTTATTACCAAACCTAATGCGGCCGGTAGGGTTTTTGTAATTTACATTTATGTCCTCTAATAACTTGTATTACTCTTTCAATCCCTAGATTTATCAAGAAATGACAGAAAATACAAATGATTTTTAGTAATAAAAATTCTAGATGAATCATGAAAAAAAATTTCAAGTAAAGTTTTAATGAAATAAACCCGCAATTTAAGTTTATTAACGTCTGTCATTCTCCATCATGGTATTTTAGACGGAATGTGACATACGTTAACAAGACTAAATTTGATGGTTTCTTTAACTCTTTAATTGAAGATTTCTTTTACAATCCATCTTTAATGGAAGAATATTATTAATAAATGGGATTAAATGTTTTAAAATATTTATCATCATTTATGCATTATTTAAGATTCTTACAATGATTTATAAGCCTTTAAAATAATATATAAATTCTTAGACATTACTTTATCAATTTTCTAACATATTTATACAGTTTTATAAAATTTTAATACTTTTTAAAAATAGTCTAAAGTTTACCTAAAACAGTCTAATTATTTTTAAAATAGTCTAAAGTTTACCTAAAACAGTCTAGTTCTTTTTATTTAAAAACAAAAATTAAACAGGTTTACAAAAGAAAAGAAGAAGCTAAAACATGTCCTTATTCACTAAATTCAAATTTTGTCAAAAATAATTCCGTGCTAAGGGGTATGAGACACTGACCAGATTTATAAGAGCACACATTACCAAATGATCCAAGATAATATTCAATGAACTGGAAGATACAACTTTTATTTGATAGAGGGAAAAAGTCAGAGATTGGTGGCTTTTTCAGCCGAAGATGGGAATGCAAATAAAGGAAACTTGCGGCAAACTTCAATACCGGTTGATTCAGCTAGATAGTATTGATCATCATCTCCAAGGGGTCTACTCTCAACTCTCCAGTTAAATCGGTTCACGAGGTTGGCCAATGTAACCTCTACTAATGCCGTAGCAAATCCTATTCCAGGACATAGCCTTCGTCCCGATCCAAATGGAATGAACTTGAAATCTTGTCCTGAAAAATCCAAAGGTTGATCCAAATGTCTCTCTGGCTTAAACTCTTCCGCGTCTGGTCCCCATGTTGCGGTGTCTCGATGGATTGCCCAGGCATTAATGAGTACCTGCTCAACCACGTACGTACTTACTATATATAATACTATTAATAATTAATTAAGGTTGCTTTTTTCGTCGTTTAGATGTTAACAACCTGTGTGCCAGCGGCAATGTCATATCCTTTTAGTTTGACATCTTCACTAAGTTGTCTAGGAACTAACAATGGGCCAGGAGGATGTAGTCGAAGAACTTCTTTAATCACAGCCTTTAGGTATTTCATACTCTCCACTTGTTCTTCCGATACGTAGAACTTATGTCTCGAATATGTTTGGATCTCGTCTTGAAGTTTTTTCATACACTCTGGGTGTCTTATAAGAAGCATCATTGCCCAATCGACAGTCGTGTAAGTTGTTATCATTCCTCCTAAGAAAATATCCTATAAAAACGTTTAATAAACATTCTTCCTTGTTATAGATATATGTACTTAATTATTTCTATTTTAGGAAAGATATTGTTGCTATAGGCTTATCTTAGTTACCAACATGATGAGCCTGATGTCGCTTCGATCGAGCTCAAATCCATTTGTTTTCTCTCTTTGAATCCGTAACAGCAAATCAACAAAATCAAATGTCTCTTTACTCTCACCTTCTTGTTCATGTTCTTGCACTACTCCTTCTAGAAACTCCACAAACGTTTTGCTTACTTCTTCCATTTTACGATCCAGACCGCGGATTTTATCTATCCAGGCCAAACCCCTAATGTAATCCCCAACTGGAAATGCGCCTAGAAGGTCCACCAATGTTCTCAACAAATTTCTAAAATCCATAGGGCTTTCCTCTAGGCTATATTTTCTTCCCATGGCAATTCTACATATCACGTTGTTTGTCATATTCAGGAGAGATTCACTCAGATTTACTGGCAAAGAAGAAGAGCTAGCTTTCTCAAGCTTATCCATCATTGTGACTATCTCTTCTTCTCTTACATTCTCGAAGGACCTAACCATTTTCTTGCTGAGGAGATGAATACTGCATAAGCTCTTCACTCAAATGCAATATTTTTCCAAAAAGAAAAAGTTTCATCAGTTATAAGAAAAGCTAGTAGTTGGTCAAAAAGAAAGAAAGAAAAGCTAGTCTTAATTTTAAATAGTAAGAGAAAAAGTTAACAACATTTTATAATCATATATATCTTGTTAAAATAAAGTTCCAAATTAATATCGTTCATGTATATATTACAATTTCTGTGACTAGAAGTCTTGTATTTTTAGTTTTTAATCAAAATTAAAATAGTCAAATTGATTATAAATTCATAAAAATACCAAACGTACTATATCTTCCCATATTTTTATAATTTTAGCTATATATAGATTATCTATCTATCTCTTCATTTATCTATATTATCGTTTAAGAAATGATTTTTCACATTAAAAATTAGAGTTATTATCTATACTATCCTTACTATTTTTAATAAAAATATATATCTATATATAATTTATTATATAAAAAAATTTATATAATAATATTAGATTCATATTTTATCTGAGATAATTGATTAAAAATTAATATAAAAAAATCATAAAAAAATAAAAGCTATGGTGATAATATAAGAATATTTATTTGACAATTGAAATATAATGTGAATATGCTGAAAGCAATAGTTATACCTTTTTATCAAATCTCTGGCCATAAAAAAAAAATGATAACAAGTTTATGTATAATTGATTGATTTATTTTAAGGTGTGTACACGAAGCTTATATTATATCTTAATAGATTAGAAAAATAAAGCCCTACTCTTTGATATACTCATATATATGGCCAAAATATTTCTATAAAGAAATCAGTCAAGCCTGAGCTTCTCTTGCTTCACCGAAAGGCCACACCGCTAGTAATCAATTATAACTGTTGCTCACCTAACTCGTTGTGGACTAATCTGTTTATAATTATATAAAAATTTAAGCATGATTCAAACATTAGCTGGCAAAAGTATCTGGTTCTTCACATTAGTTGAGGTTCGGTTCAAAATTATCATAGACACACTAAATTAATATATACCATAATCATACCTTCATCTGTCTCCAGTATTCGCCGTAGGAGGAAAAAGCCACATCTCTCCCACCGTTCATAATTATATCGACTGCTTTTGTTTTCGGGCGGTTTGCAAACTTTAGATCGTGTGTTTTCATGACGTCGTGAGCTACGTCAGCTGACGAGACTACAAGGATAGGGACGCGACCGAAGTGAAGGAGCATGAGCGGTCCATAACGGAGGCTGAGGTTACGGAGCGAACGGTGAGGATGGAGGCTGAGCTGGTGGAGGTTTCCGATCACGGGGAGTCGTCGTGGAGACGGTGGTAGGTTACGGTTAGTGGTTGTGGCTCGTTTGAGAATCTGTTTTAGGAAGAGAATTGCTAAAACAGTTGTGAAGCAGAGAGAGACTGATATCATTTCCATTTCGTTCTGTCAGAATCAAATACTCTCATGTCATGTAGCAACTTATATGGTGACTTATTTTTTTTTAGAATATTACACCAAGAGTCACATTTGCACTTATGAATAACATCATAAGTCACTTTCTTCTATCCATATACTTTTTTAACTATTTATTCAAATCTGGTTAGGTTTTCTAACTAAAACAAAACCATATTATAATATGTGGTCTCTATTCTCTTTTCTTCTTTCCTTCTCTTTATTAGTTACTTTTGAAATATTGAACTCAGCTTCTCAATACTAATTCATTTCTAATCTGTTAAAGTTCATTTGAGTCACGATTTCAGTTTATGGTGGATGATTCACCGTCACGTACCATGGACGATAGGACTGCTCCAAGTCGTTGAGGTTTCCACTGGAATCTTCAGCCATGGCAAACTCCATCCATCACTGTGTTTCTCCTTTTCCACTAGTCTTCTCATCCGTGGTGTCTCTAGCCTTTTCCACTAGTCTTCTTTTCTGTGGTATCTTCAATCCAGTGGGAAGCTTCAACGTCCTCCGTCGTTGGAATCGAAGGAGACTCTCTTCAGATCGAGAAGTTTGTGACAACAATGGCCAATTTTAGGCATTTTCACATATGGTCCTCTAATTAAAATAATTTCACTTACCCTAAACTTTTATACATCCTAAAATATATATGTGTACACGTATGTATCAACGTGTTCACTTGAATAACCTCGTCTCATTGTGAAAACAATTTCTGCACACCTCTCCCCAACGATTTGCTTCCATATGAGAACATGTGCTCCATATAAAAGATTGTTTCTTGCGTACAGTTCAATGTATACACCATGTAGATATACATCGAAAATTCGTGGTCAAATTAGAAGCATATAGTCGGAGAGAAGTTGTCCACAATATTATTTATAAGTAAATTTACCAAAGTACACTTTTGCCTATGCTTATGAAATTAAACAAGTATATGCACCAAAAACATCTAAATGCATCAAAAATGATTACAATGAACTAAAACAAATGATAAAAATCTGCATACCAAGTTTTTTACATTGTTGATCCGAACTATTTGCCTGATATTTTAAAGGGAAATTGCATGATACCAAGTTTTGTACCAATTTTTTGGTTATTTCACAAATAAGCCCTATTTTGAATATGTCTCCTCTTTCTTTTTTTGTTTTTTTTTTGTTTTTTGACATCATGTCTGCTCTTTTATTGAGTGGAACTTGTCTTATGTGATGTATGGACTCGTTGAATTGTGCTAGTGGGGACACCACTCGAGGTAGACATATATCTCTGGGAAGATAGTTGATTTAGACACGCATAATAATTTAATTCATCGTCTATCTTCTATTTTCTTGTCAACATTTCATCGTCTATCTAGAAAGTAAAAACCGATAAAAGATAATATTTCTATACTCGTAAAGATGTTTGGTAAATATACAGATATGATTATAACAAAAAAATCTTACATTGATCTATGATTATTTTCTTTGAAATCAAGTTTCAGGTCATAAAACCGTTCTCTTAAAAAAAGAAAGAAATTACGTATGAAAATACTTGATTAAACCACATATGGTCAAGTAGTAAATCAGATTTAGAAAGATGGTAAACTAAAACACCCCGGGAAACTTATCATTTCAGAAATATTATTTGTGTGACCAGGTGATATGGGTATCTCATTCTCATTACAAACAATCTACTATATTTGGTGCCGGTGAATAGACCCTAAAGAATTAGTCGGTCATCACTTAATTATCAAAAAGAAAAAGTTCTTGATTAAGAAATTTTCAGCGTGATTAGACGTATGTACCCTACAACATGGACATGATGTGTTATATTTTTCTATAAATTTAGCTACATTAGCAGTTTCCGACACGCAAACTTGTATATATCTTTGTCCTACTTCACATTTGCTGAAACAGTACAAAACGAGACTTTCTAAAAATATGGCTTCCTCACATTTGCCAAAAGCCATAGAGAACCCAACTCTTGAGCTCAAAGTTGTATCAGCCAGTGACCTCAACCATGTCGATGCCACAGACAAGATGGACGTATACGCCGTCGTTTCAGTTAACGACGAAACCAAACAAGCAGCTAAAACACCCATCGACTATGATGGTGGTCCAAATCCGACGTGGAATCACACCGTCACCTTTACCGTCAACGAAGAAGCCGCCCGTGAAGGCCTAATAACCCTCAAGGTAGAGTTATTTAGCTATTGGCTCGAAGGGAAAGATGACATTTATTTAGGAGACGTCAACGTCTCGGTTCATGAACTTTTAGCCTCAAATCCACTTCCACCGTTTGCAAACGGTAACGTCAATAAAATGAAGTCGTTGACTTGCCCTATCAAAGTCACCGAAGGAGGAAGTAGTACCAACGCAAAGTTGAGCCTCTTGTACCGGTTTAAACCAGTACCCGTTGAGGATTCATATCCTCTACTGCCTCAGGATCATTCCCCATCGATTGGTCGACCCGTTTATCCACACCCGGATCCAAAAATATCAGTTCAGCCCGTCATAGTCTCACCTCCGTTACAAACCACCACGACTAAACTGATCCTAGAGATTGTGATCAAAGTCGCTAAAAACATTGAAGATGTCAACGCCTTCTTGGCTATGGATGTATACGCTTCGGTTGCTATATGTAAGGATAAAAAAGTTAAAGATAGGATCAATACTCCTGTCGCTTTCTCGGCCGATACAAACCCAAAGTGGAACCAGATGATGAAGTTTTTAATCGATGAGAAAGTAGCTCAAGAAGGGCGTTTGATGCTCCTAGTGGAGTTGATGAGCCACAGGCCTTTCCTTGGTGACAAGGAAATAGGATCTGTTAGGCTTCCGATTCGACAACTGTTAGGCTCAAATCCGCCTTCATCATCAGCATGCGGGGAGGGTAACGGTATGAAGTTGGAGACACACGCTTTGACTGGTCCTTACGGGAAGAAAGGTGTCGTGAGCTTCACGTATAGGTTTCTTGCGCAACAAGTTAGAGTTGCAACTGTTCCAACGCCTTCTACAACATCCCAACCATGTGTTATGTATCTACCGGTCTCGTCTCATTATCCATCACATGGGTATCAACAATATATACCACCGAAACAGGAAAGTCAAATGAAACCGCAGCCACTACTACCACAACATTCGGAGGTTAAACCACTGCCTCAGCAGCAGTTCACTCAGTCACTATCGGACACACAAGAAGCATAGATGTGTAGCTACATTAACCCATGGAAATTTAAGTGTTTTCAGCCTTGTAATTATTATAAAATGCATTGTACTACCTTTTCCTTCTGAATCTGTAAAAAATAGTTTGCTTATATTTTTAATCCATTTGTGGTGTTCCTAGCTCATTTCATTAGCTTGAAGTTCACTAAAATACAGTTTTTCAGTTACTCCGTTTTCCCCAAAGAATTTCCATCAGTCTTTTTCAGTTACTCCGTTTTTTCCTCTTCCACTTTCGTTTTTTTATTCATGTTATTAGTCACTTTCTTATTATCTTACATTTTGTTTGTGTGGAAACAGAACTGGTCTTATCAGAAATAGTCGGAAACAAACATCTTAGACCATTTCCAACGTTGAATATGTTTATGCAATCAATTTCAATAAAAATGTGACATGACATACTATAAACGATAGCATGGCTTATGATTAAGTGTGATGTGGTTTATGCATTTAATATTAATTTTTATTTTTGGTAATTATTTTAGAATATATTAATAATTCATATATCATCAAATAAATTTATTCAAATATTCTTTTATATAAACAATATAATAATAGATATATAAATTATTTTACAAATTTTAAAACACTTTTTAAGTTTATTTCTATAATCATATGACTTTTATTATTAAAAATATTTTCAAAATTGTAGAAAATCTTTTTTATAAATTTTTTAATTCTAATACAATTTATTTCCTTATGATATCTACAAATTTAAAAATTATGTTTGTTTTACTTTTGATAATTATACAATTTTTATATCATTTTTTTTCAAAATCATATAAGCTGATTTAATATATCTTAACCGGAAGAAATAAATGAAAATATATCTAAGATTACAATTTTAAACATAAACATATCTATTCTTATATATAATTCTAAAAAAGTTATTTGGCATGTGGCAGTTATTTAAGAAAACCAAATGGATTCCAGCGTTGATCATGATCTGAAGTATATTAATATACTCTAAAGTTGCTCGAGAAATGACAGTTATTTTATTTTTCATATAATATGGTAACATTAGAAAATGTCCACGCAGTTATGTATTTTTAAACACCTTTGTCTCACTTCGAGACAAGACAGGAGGGAGACTCGCTTTCCATTTCCATCAAAATGTCTTCCCAACGGTTGCAAAGAACGACAGAGAACCCAACTCTCGAGCTTAAAATCATATCAGCCTATGATGTCAGCAATATCTATGCTACGGACAAGGTGGACGTGTACGCTGTCGTTTCATTGAAAGGCGACGATACTCAAAAGAAACAAGCCGCCAAAACACCCATTGACTACGATGGTGGTTCCAACCCGACGTGGAATCACACCATCAAGTTCTCCATCAACGAGAAAGCTGGTGAGGGTCCATTAACCATCTACATCAAGTTATTTAGCTATTGGCTCGAAGGAGAGAACGACCTTTACTTGGGAGAAGTCAACGTCTCCGTTCAAGAACTTTTAGCCTCAAATCCACTTCCACCGTTTGCTAACCGTAACGTCAATAAAATGAAGTTGGTAACGTACCCTCTCAGTTTCATAGGAGAAACAAAACCAAATACAAAGCTGTCTCTCTCCTACCGGTTTAATCCGGTTAAGGATCTCTATCCTCCAACACCGTTTAGCCAACCTATATACCCAAACCCGGATCCAAATGGATCATGTCAGCCATTCATATACTCTCCTCATCAGTTACAAACCACCACGGTGACAAAACTAGCCCTAGAGCTCGTGATCAAATGCGCCAAGGACATAAAGAAAGTCAACGTATTCGACGAAATGCATGTATACGCTTCGGTTACGATCCGTGAGGGCAAGGAAACAGTTAAGCATAGGAGCACTACACCTATAGCATTCTCCGCTTATCAAAACCCTAAGTGGGATCACACCGTTAAGTTTACACTCGACGAGGGTTTAGCTCGAGACGACCGTTTGTTGCTATCCGTTGAGTTAATGAGCCACAGACCGATTCTAGGAGATAAGCGTATTGGAGAAGTCAACGTCTCGGTTCAGGATCTTTTGAGTTTGAGTCCTCCGTTAACAAAAGGTGATGGTAACGACATGATGTTGGTGACGGAGGATGTGTCAACGTTGTCAGGCAAGAAAGGAACATTGAGCTTCACGTATAGGTTTCTTAGGGAACAAGTTACAGTTTCTAAGCCTTCACCACAAACAAACCCTCAACCATTTATTATGTATCTACCTATGGGGCATCAAGCATACTCGTCACCGGATTCGATTCAAGCCGGGTCAAGCAATGGTTTAGTACCAATTTGTATGGCGCCTCCATTTCAGTCACATGGATACCAATACTATTCACCTCACCAACCACAAGAGAATACACATCACCAACAACAATTCCAGCTACCGTCTCGACCACTATATGATACACATCCAGAGTCATATCAGTCATATGGAAACCAACAATATTCACCACCCGAACCACTACCTCAACATAAACTCCAGATTCCCCCTCAACAGTCGACACAAGCGCAAACGGAAGGCGCGCGACCACAAGGGAAGCCGCAAGGGGGTGCCATGGCAGCGATGGGAATAGGGGCATCGGTTTTGGGACGAGTAATAGGTGGAGCTTTAATGAGTGACATGATGATGTCTGGTGAAGCAAACATGTACGAGGGTGGGGATTGAATGGTTTGGTTGATTCATTGCATGTGATGAATCCGTACGTAATATGAAGTGCAAATCAGTTTTTTGTTCTTTTCTATTCTGCTGTTGTTTTTTTTTCGGTTTGGTAATTGGTATTCGGTTTGTCTTGTGGGTTATTTCATCTTTGTATGTCCTAGATTATTTGGTTCCATATGGGAAAGTTTTATAACGAAATTTGCTTCACAGCACATTACATTTCTGTTCAACATTAGTTACATTACCTAATCCCAATATGATACCTGAAATGAAACTATAGTGAGTGCATATATATTCGATTATAATTTTTGACTCATAACTTCATAAAATTCATAAAACTTAAAATGCTCATGAGTCGTCGTCATCAAGAGGCTTCCCTTGCTAGGAAAGAAAAAATGTGTCGAGCTGGTTTTTTTATGCTTATGTAATTTTTTTTCTTTCTTTTAGAACTTTAACGACTTATCTCGTATGAGCTTTCTTTTCCTTTCTATGTAATTTATGGTTCCTATTCTATGTATATTGATCAATAATTGTAGTTATTTAATTAATTTGTGGATCATAACAAATTATCGATCTATCTATAGTACTAGTAAGAATGTATTCGCAAGGATTTCTTTTATTATTAATTTGAGGTATTCTAGAACTATAGAAGAGCCAACGTTAGATCTTCTCTCCGAATATTCATGAAGTTTAAAGCATGGTTTCATTTTCATATGTGCACGAAGTGAAATATAGATTAGTGGGACGTCTTCAAACTCAAGTTGCTTAACTTCCCAACTACGAATTAGGAATTATTTTAATAAGTCAAGTTTTGTTTTTGGGTGTTAATTGATTTTTTAAGAGTACGGCAAGGGTTTTGTCCCAGAATGGAGATAATGGAAGTATGGGCGATTAAAAATAACCGGAACATAATGGGAATATCCATAGTTGTCAAACCTTTTTCAAAAAATAAATCCATAGTTGGCTACTTGATATCACGCCTTGTGAGTCTATTATCATGCTATTCATCAGTTTGAGAGGTTCCACTGTTTTTATTGTTCCATTAAAATAACGTGTGTTAGTTTCTTATGAAATAAAACAATTTCGTAATTGAATCATACAAAGATATGAGCAATTCTACAGAAATAGTGGTATATTTTAGAAACAATAGTTTCAACAACTCTAAGCGAAAGGTCAGCTAAAATTCAATATTTTTTGTTAAAAGAGTAAGTAAATATATTTTCTTTTGTCAAAATGTTTTCCTTCAGCCATCATAATCCCACGCACGAAATCACTAGTTAATCTAAGGAGTTTTTAAAAGCCTTAATCGTATAAAAAAAATATAGTTGACATATCCTGTATGTATAATATATGTATAAAACTTTTCTGATGGCTTTGTGTATATTCTTGTACAAAAGATGTGAACGCATTACTAGATATCTTTGTCAGATTCAACATTTACCAAGTTTTCCAAGACAAAACTCGGCTCTCTTCCCCAAAATGTCCCCACCGGAGCTGCAAAGAGGCAGAGAGAATAATCCAACGTTCGAGCTCAAAATCATATCAGCCAATGATGTCAGGCATATCAATGCAACATACAAGATGGACGTGTACGCCGTCGTTTCAATAACGGGCAGCACTATTCAACAGAAACAATCAGCCAAGACACCCATTGACTTTAACGGATGTTCCAATCCGACGTGGAACCATACCGTCAAGTTCTTCATCGACGAGGAAACAGTCCATTTGACCCTAAAGGTCAAGTTATTTAGCTACTGGCTAGAAGATGAAAATGACCTTTATTTGGGACAAGTTAACATCTCGGTTCAGGAGCTTCTTGCTTCAAACCCGGTTCAACCGTTAAACAACGGTAAGAATGATAAACTCAAGTTAGTGACTTACCCCGTACAAGTCACGGAGGGTTACAAAGGAACGTTGAGCTTCTCATACCGGTTTACCCCGCCAGCACAACATGATGATCTGTCTCCTTCGGCCCCACACTACTCTCTTTCGTTTGGTCAACCCGTTTACCCAAATCTGGATCTAGCAAGTTCATGTCAGCATATTTACCTAAATCCGGATTCAGCGAGTTTAGGCCAGTCCGTTTACTTAAGTACGAATCCAACAAGTTCAGGTCAGCATGTTTACCTAGATCGGGATCCAGCGAGTTTAGGTCAGCCTGTTTCCCTAAATACGGATCCAGCAAGTTCAGGTCAGCATGTTTACCTAGATCAGGATCCAGCGAGTTTAGGTCAGCCTGTTTCCCTAAATACGGATCCAGAAAGTTCAGATCAGCATGTTTACCTAAATCCGGGGCCAGCGAGTTTAGGTCAGTCCGTTTACCTAAATTCGGATCCAACAAGTTCAAGTCAGCCCGTTTACCTAAATCCGGATCCAGCGAGTTTACGTCAGCCTGTCATGCTTTCCCCTCAATTTCAAACCAGTATGCCGAAACTGAAACTGATGCTTGTGATCAAATCCGCTAAAGACATAAAAAGTGTCAACATAGGTAACGACATGAACGTATACGCTTCGGTTATGATCCGTGAGGGTAACAAAATTAGAACTAAAGATACAGCCAATACCCCTGTCACCTATTGCACATATAAAAACCCGAGATGGGACCATGAAGTTGAGTTTTGTCTCGACCAGAAGTTAGTTCAGGAGGGACGCTTGACCCTCGTTGTGAAACTAATTGGCGTGCGAACGTTGCTTGGGGAAAAAGGCATTGGTGTAGTCGTTGTCCCGATTCAGGAGCTTTATGGATTAAACCCACCGTCTCCTCTGCCATCTAACGGTGATGATAATAATGGTATGAGTTTGATGACCCGGGATGTGACGGTTTCTTCAGGCAAAAAAGGAACATTGAGCTTCACATATAAGTTTCTTGCGGAGCAAGCTTCCCAACAGTTTTTTATGTATCCTAGTCAAGGAACCTCCGGTTACGCAGTTGTTCAGCCTGGAGAAAATGCCGTCCCGAGCAACGGTCAATTACCAATTTATATGCCACCACAATATCCTCAGCCGCTCCACCAGCCACATCAGTCACAAGGATACCAACAACATTTACCAACGCAGCCACATAAGCCGCAGTCTCAAAACCAACAACTCCACCACCCACAAATGCATACACAATCACAGTCACTTTCGTACCAGCAAAGCTCTCCATCACAACACCAAGTGCAGCCACAACCACTGGCACATCAGCTTCCACAAACGCAACAACCAGAGCCACAAACACAAGGCGAAAAACCGGCAAGGAAGCCACAAGGAGGGAGTACTGCGGCGCTAGGACTAGGGGCGGCGTTTGTGGGAAGAGTAATAGGTGGGGCTTTAATGGGTGAACTGATGTCGGATGAAGTAACAATGCATGAAGCTTGAGGCCTGTTTTTTTTTTTTTTTTTTTTATAATCCGGTTTGAGTTTTTTTTTCATTGTTTTGTTTTGGTTCTTCAGTTTGGCTTCTGTATACTTTTTTTTGTTTCCTTCACTTCTTCACTTCCATGGGAATTTATGATATGAAATGTTTCATGAGATACTATAAGAACATGAACTTGTCGTACAAATTACAAAAACATTTTTCATGGAAAAAATTAGATGGTTTTTGTAATAAGAATTAATTTATAAACTTTATTTTAATAGTAAGGTAAGATTATTTTAAGTTTTTTTATTGTAAATAAGAAAACTAGTACCAAATATATTTTACTGTGTTTATATATATATTTATCTTTAACAAAGGAAAAAACTATAAAAACTTATAGTTATATATTTATATTAGAAACTCTTTTGTATCTTTTCACTCTGTAAATTGATTAAGTTTGCAATTTTTTTTTTTTTAAAAATTAATTTTGATCATGTAGGAGGAGGTTATGTGATATGGGATAAGAACATTTATGACTTTGCCAAAAATATTTTAAAGCATTTTGCAAGGTCTTCGGTAGGTAAAGAATGCTTACCAAATATGTTGTAACGACATTAATATATATGCATGCCAATTTATATAATGATGTTGAGATTCAACATATTTACATATAATCTGAGAATAATTAATGATATGTTTACAGCATTATTTTACCAAATGGACAATTAAGTTAATAGTCAACATACTTTTTTAAAGAAATACGACCTCACATAATTTAAATATAGAAGAAAATATAACTATCAATGGATGGTCTTTTTTTTTGTGATCAAAATCATTGCTGGTCTAATTATATGATTTCACATAATTGAAATATGGAAGAAAATCTTTACTGGATGACGGATCATTGGATGGTCCAATTTCTCAATTTGAGAGATTCTCAAATAAATTAATTTCGACATTATATCTAGAGATTTGTTGCCTTTTAAGACATAAAATATTAATGTTTATACCATTTAATAAAATAAATTTGGGTTTTATCAGTTGTTTCAACTTAAAACCAGCATGACTATAATCTAGTAAATTAATAATAATAAAAAATTGAATTTCATAAAGTATTCCATCACATGTATAAGAGGATGTTGGTGGACGTTATATTTATATAGAGTGTTGATTTTAAAAATTGATACATTTGTGAAATTTGAAAAGAGTTATAGAGAATTTTGTATATTGTAAAATTCTGTGAAAATAAATTGATATAATAATTCTAAGAATCTAAAGTATATATATAGTATTCTCAAAATCTTATGTTATGAGTTAAATGGTGAAGAATACAACTCCTAATAACATCAATTTTTTTAGATTTAAAGAATCATTAAAACTAGATTTTTTTAATAACAAAGGATTATGTATATAGTTACAATTACTAAATCATAAAATTAATAACATTAGATTCTAATGAAAATGTAAAAATCTATAAATCAATAACACTAGACTCTAAAATTTTGCGTATCGTTATAAATTTTAGTCTCACTAACAAGATCTAGGATATTACTGGTGACTAATCTATCTATACTAACTTCCTCTATTCATATGAAACCACATCATTGTAGAAGTCTTTAATTTCTTGATACATAAACACAATCTATTTATAAATAGTAATTAAATATGAAACTAATAAAATAAATACAAAATTCATTATTATTTTAAAATAATTTACATATATGGAAATACATAAAACATAATAAAATCTTATTTGATCGTTTTTAGTTGATTGTAGCTTTGTAGTTTATGGTTTCAGTTGTAAATTGATTTTTAAAACTTCTTTGCACCTCTTATTTCGGAAATACAGTTAAAACTTCCTACATCATAATTTAATCGTATACCAAAGTAGTGAATTATTTAAAATTTATTGGGAATTGCTCTACTTATGTTATATAAATTATTGTTATTATTATGACTATTACTTTTTTGAACTAATTATGACTATTACTTCTTAACAATATATTACCACATATTGCACCCAGTACCAAACATTTTAAGATTGGAATGTTACTTAGATACTAGGGATGGCAGTGGCATCACAAGTAATGGGCCTCTAAACCCCAAATAAGAAGACTAATAACAAACAAACTACGCTTAAACGGCAGGTTATGAACATTAAAGTCGTAGAAATAAGAGGATGCAATATGTAAATATCTGACTAGCTTTAAATGAAGAAACGAAAAATAGAAAACTCACAAACAAGAAAATTAATTAATTGATTAAAATTTTTGGGGGGTGTCTTGTTCTTAAGATAAACTTGTGGGAGTGTATTGTCAAATTTTAAATGACAGGTTATAAACGTTAAAGTCTTATAACTAAGAGGGTACAACATGTAAATATCTGACTAGCTTTAAATGAAAGAAACGAAAAATAGAAAACTCGCAAACAAGGAAAATTAAAATAATTGATTAAAATCATTAAACCAAAGAAGAACCCTCCAAAAGAAACATAACACTTCTTTCTGGTTTGCGTCTTTGTCTTGCAATAAAAACTCGGAGACGCAAAGGGAAGTGTCGAACGTTTCGTAAAACCTCCCTTCGCCGCCTCTCTGTTCTCGACTCGGTTCCAACTCGACTCAGTGATCGAATCCCTTTAAAAACGCGTCTGATCGTGTGTTCGAGTTTTAATAACGGGATTAACGCGATTAAATTTGCGGTTTTTATTTTTGGGTTTGGTGGTAGAAAATCAAAAAACTCAGACCTTTTGTGTTGGAAGATTGAAAAAGTTGAGGGCTTTACGAGATAATCTGACTGTTTTATGATTTGAGTTTGTGTCTGTGTGTGTTTTTGTGTTGTGTCTGTGTGTGTGTGGCCAATGTTGGATTTTCGAGACGGTTTGTAGGCGGACAAGAGTTAAGTGTTTGGTGTTGTTATTGAGAATGGGAGAAAGTTATGAACTTGAAGAAGGAGAGTTGAATTGTTCTGCCATTGATGATCTTTATGATTTCTCCTACATTGTGAGCCTTCTTCTTGTTTACAAGTTTTTTTTTTTTAAAGTTGTTTCTTTGTGTTGGTATGATGTGTGTTTACTAAACTATAATGCTTGAGCTTTCTTCATGTTTTTGTTAAAAGAATGTTCTTTTGCGTTGGTATGATGTGTCTCTAATTACAAAGCTTGATTATATTAACGCTCTTTGGATAATGGTGTTTAGTTTCTGCTTATCTGTTTAAACTAGTGGAACAGTAAAAGACTACTGTTTTTATAAGGCTAAAATGCTGGCGTCTGTTACTGTGCGTAGTTAATTATATAATGTTGAATAGTTAAGCTTCTTCTGAGTACTGCCTCTTGATAGTATTATATATATGTGCTGCATTGTTGAAATCAATCTTTTTGTTTTTGCTTTGTGTATTGAAGGAGAAGAAGTTACAGAATCTACTAGGCCACTTTCAAAGACCCTTGAATATGTTTGGTAAGTAATATTATCAATGGCTTTAGTGAGAAAAATATTGTTGAGAGGTGAGATGTAATTTGATACAGTGATATGATTGGTCAGGTCCAAAAGTCTATGACTACGGATCATTTTTGCCCACATACAAGCGTTCGCCTGCGGTGCTACCATGTCAAAGGAGTTCCATGGGGAATAATGCCGTGCAAAAAGTTCCAAACAACTTACCCGTGAAGGTATGAGAAAATTTGGATTTGAAGATAAAAGGCATATATGGCAGTGAAAATGTTTCTTTGTATTTGTGTTTTAGTTATGGATTCTTTTGACATTTGAAGAAATCTAGACCTTTCTGATTGTTGCCTTAGTATTATAAGTAGTTTACATATGAGTTGTAATAAATTGTTTTTTTTCTTGTGCAGAATGTTGTTCAGAAGTTTCAGTCACTACCTGCTGCATCTTGTAAACCAGCAAGTATTCAGGAATCTCAGACAAATCAAACTTCAGGATCCCTTTTGCCTCAAGCTCCTGGAAAGGTTACTGTAAAGAAAGAAGACGCAAAAATACCAGGCAATGGTTTGTCTGATCATAAGCCGATTAGAGTTCGGATCAAAATGGGTTCTAAAATCTTGTCTCAAAAGATCACGATGGTTTGCAATGATCTTGGTCTCGATGATTCTCCAAATTCACCAACCCTAAACAGCAGTAGCAGAATGGTTCCACATACACCTCAGGAGAAGACAAGTGAATCTCCGTCCCGTATTCTTCAGGTAGATCATTTGTCACATTCTTTTGTCCAAACTACTTTTGTATGCCCAACTTACTGGTAACTTCATGAAACAGGAAATGACTTCCATGCCTGTCTCAGAGGATCTACTTATGTCCCCTCTTCCTAATAGTCTGCTTATTTTAAAGAATAAGGAGAAGCCATGTACATTATTAGGCAATGAACCAGTTACTAAGGCAAGGAAGGTTCCTTTGATTCAGACACAGGAAAAGTTTTCTGGTGTTTTAAGCTGTGGGGAAAGTCCAAGTGGAAGGAAAAGGAAAGGGGTTAACTGCTTTAATACTTCGTTAACTGGTGAGGTGAAGAAGCAAAAAGTTTCTTCCACTGGTCCCTTAGTCAGGGAGAGCTCAACTTCTGGTGTAGGTGGGATTAATTCTACTAGTGATGGGTTTACAACAAAAAGTAACTTGCAGAAAGGTATTAAAAAGGATGTGGAAGGTGATCGTAGAGTCGCATTTGCTAAGCCAAACAAAATGAAGGTTGTTGGGAAACATGCTGAGAAGGAGAGAAAGACATATCCAATAAAGTTGAAACAGAACAGTAGCAAAAGTGATAAAGTTTTATCAAAGGATACTGGAAATATCATTCAAGATAGCATGGGCATTGCGCTTGCACCTTCCTCCACTAGTCTTGAGAAAGATAGTTGGGCCCAATGTGATAGCTGTCTGACATGGCGGCTACTACCATTCGTCGCGGAACCTGATGATCTGCCTGACAAGTGGGTGTGTAGCATGCAAACCTGGCTGTAAGTATCTAATGTATTCTGTTTCTTTATCACCATCTCACTTTCTAATATATATGGTACAGTTTGGTTACTATGGTGGTTAGTTTGAATCCGATTTCATTGTTGATAGTTCATTGTAGCTCAAGCATTAAATAAATGAAACTGGATTGATAACACGTTTACGTACTTTCTCCTTGACATCCTTCCTGAAATCTTTTGTAGGCCTAGGATGAATCATTGTAAAGTCAGCGAGGAAGAGACAACAAACGCTGTTATATCCCTTCTTGCTACTGGAGCACACGGTGCTGGGACTATTAATGCTGAGAAAAACTACCAATCTTTAACCGCTGGTTGTTTGCCTAACGTAATTGAGAAAAAGCCTATCCTAAAAGATTCATCGCAAAGAGTTACAAGCAATATCCTGGTTGATGCTGCAAAGCCTACGAGAAGTACCTCACACGTGCTTAAAATAAAAAACATAAAGCTGCCGCTAAAAACTCATAACGCTGCGCCGTTATCCACAGACTTTGGTGTGTCACAAAAGTTTACTCAGGATAAGATTGATCAGAAAGCAAAGGGGCGATCAGGTCTGTTCTGGCCTTTTATAGCTACTGTACATTTGTTGGGATTTTGTAAATAATTTGTTATTATCGTAGGTACTGGTGTTCAGATAAAGATCAAGAAGGAAAAAGAGGGTGACAATCAAGAAAGTGAACGCTCCAAGCAAATCAAGACTGGTTATGGCAACAAACTCTCCAGAGATGTAAAAGCAGAAGAAATACATTGTAAACAAGATCTGGATTGTGCTCCAGCAGAGAGGAAAACAAAGCGTCATGACGATGACATTTACACTTCGGATGTAGAGCGAGCCACAAAGAAAAGATTAATCGCACCGAAAAAGAAACCTGACCACCAAACTCAACCAAAAACTGGTAGTGGCTCCTTACGCATAAAAGCTCACGGCATTATCAACAGTCCTGTGAGAATCAGGAACCAGCCAGAACAAGAAGTACGTAAACAGGGAACAAACTTTGGTGATTTGCCTTGCACAAGTATGAAAACAGTTCCCGAAAATAGAGCTGGGATTAAGAATGTCAATGTCATTACTCACGAGACTATGGATAGATCCCCCCAGGCTGCGAATGATATACTTCAAGAGGCTGAAAAGAAGAAAAAGCTTGCTGATTGTTTAAAGGTCAGATTTTGGTCCTTCTTCTAATGTAGTCTGAAGGGTGATGTTCCATCTGGAAATGATGGAACATTAATGGGAATCACTGCTGTATTTCTCCTAGTTTTGTGTTGGCTATTAATTTGTATGTTTTTCTATTTCAATGAACTCAGGTCGCTAAATATGACGATAAAGCCAATAAGGCCAACTTCAACGCAGCTCTCAAGTTTCTACTTGGAGCTTCACTTCTGGAAATGTCCAGTACCGAGAAAGTGGAAGAGGGGAGGATGAGCCACGTTGAAGCGTACCATACTGCTGCAAAACTTTCAGAGTAAGTGAATGCTTGTGCTTGCTCATTTCCTTAAATTGCTAGGGGTTTGTGTTTGACAGAATGCTGTAGATTATTTAAGACTTTTGTGGTCACTGAACACTTTGCTTGTTTTCTTGTCACAGAAGCTGTGCCCATCGATATGAAACAAACAAAGAAATGTATGCAGCCGCTTTGGCCTACAAATGCATGGAAGTGGCTTGCATGAGGGTGGTGTATTGCAAAAGTCCAGGTCTGAGTGGAGAATGGAATGAATTGCAGAAAATGGTACAGATGACTCCTCAAGGTAAATTTTAGGTTCTGCACATATCAGTGAGTTGATTTTTTTTTTCCTGTCTTTCTGGAAGTTATCTTTTCAATGTAATTGAATTCAGATTTTTAGTAGTTCTCATTGTCTGTTTTCAAAGTTCTCAGTTAGTTCCAGTGAAGTTATATTATGTTTATTTGACTGTTACTTCAGGTGAATCACCCTCATCATCTGCATCTGATGTCGATAGCTTTTATCATCAAGGAGTGATTGATAAGTCTGCTAAAACGAAAAGAGGTCTTTCCCATGTTGTTGGAAGCATTCTCCCTGTCCCTAGAAACCATCAAAATTTTGTCCCGCTACTGGAATTTGTAAGTTATACCATATTCATATTGATGCACTCAGGATATAATATGGTACGCGTTTTCATGGATAATTTGTATGAAACTAGAGTTTGTTAGTTGAGCAAGTACCATAGGGGAAACAGTGACAGAGACTGATGTGTGTGTAGTTGAACACATCAGTCTCCTTTCATTGCATATACTGTGGACAACTAAGGTCGTTCTATTGAATAATCTGTGGCAAATAAAGCTGATATATTATTTTGATCTGATACAGACAGAGATTATGAATCTGGCAATGGAAGCATCAGCAAAATCCCAACAAGCTTTTGGAGCAGCAACCTCTGAAGAAACGCAGCAGCACAAAGACTGTGTCTCTGCAATCAAGAAAGTAGTCGATTTTAGTTTCCATGATGTGGAAGCGCTTATTCAGATGATTAAGGTCGCCAAGCGTGCTCTGAGTTCATCGAAAGTCCGTGGCCCAAAGTGTTGACTCTATTTTGTACATAGGCTCTGGTCCTATAAAGAATAGAATTAGTGTTTTTTTAAGAAGAGAAACCTAGAGAGGTTTGGATCTAATAGATTTCCTTGGGTTTCATGAACTTGCATAGAATAGTCCTCATTAATTAGCAAATTTTGTAAGGCCTATCGTTCAAGGCTCTGATTACCCTTGAATGGATTAGGATAGGAAGACTTGGAGACTTGCAGTAACTCTCAGGGTCCTGTTTCTTCAGGTTTTTCTTTTTTTTGGTCTCTGGGTACTGAAAGATTAATTATAGAATATATCTATAGAAAGACTAGTAGGTTAGTCATTTATGAGATTGGATAAGAGTTGTGACAAGACACTGCTCTGTGCCAATCTGATCCTGTTACAGTTTGTTACAAACTTTTTATTGGAAGGGAAACTCTTTTTTTTTATTGCGGTGATCATGTTCAGCATATTCAGCTTCTCTCAGGATGTATTCATCTGTTCTGTTGCATGTTAACATTTTAAGTTCCAAAAGTAGTAATTGATGCGAACCTAGTAGTGAACCCAACAAAGTAGTAGGTAACAATCTAATTAATCATTCCAAAGGCTGGAGGCTGGAGCTAATCTGTGTCGATGCAAATTCACCATTTCCTCTTTAGCTTTTTTTTTTTTTTTATTATGTGGATATTCTATTTACTGTTCATCATTAGCTTCTATAACAATGACACATCTTCATATTTTCTGACAAAGCAACCAAAACTCTATTGTCTCCAAGTTATTCCACAATTGTTTTAAGTTATCTAATGTTAATTTTCAAGCTTATCATTTCTATAATCCATTACAAAGGCGACATACAACTGATCAGTAGTGTATTCTTCATTGGAGTCACAAATTCAATGTTTGTCAAACATTAATTACTAGGTGATTTTCCCGTGCTCATGCACGGGAATGTATATTTATAAAATAAATATACAATAATAATTGATTGATATTTACTTTAATTTTTAAATTAATTTATATTTTGTATGTATATTTTATATTATAATATTATATTACTTTAATTGTATATATAATTTTAAATATGTTATTTTTAGTCTTTTTATTGTTTTTACGGTCGATTTAGTTATCATTTAGATATATTGGATTCTATCTATTTCTATGAATTCAACTATAATCTTTTATATTTTAAATATATTAAATTTTTGATTAATTGTCTTATTTGCATTTATGCTGGTTGTTATTTTAGAAATATAAGTATATTTAGTAAGATTATATATAGCTTAAGATTTTTTTGTGCTTAAAAGGAAAAAAAAAATAAAAACTAAAGTGTCTGATTTTAAATTACATACATAAGTAACTAATGAATTTTTAGAAGCTTTTGAACACATATCAATATTTACAAGGGTTTATAGTGATTAAAACCTCCAACTATTTTTAAATCAGATAAAAAACCTCCAACTAAAATTTTATGTTTTTAAACCTCCAACTATTAAACCGTTAATGCCGTTAACCTTCCGTTATCAAAATCGTTTTTTCTTAACAGAAATCCGTTAAATCGAAACACCGCGTTTCATGTAATTTGAAAAACGACATAAGGTTCTTACTATCAATATATATTTTAGTGATTTAAACCTCCAACTATTTTTAAATCGGATAGAAAACCCCTAACAAATTTTTTTATATTTTTAAACCCTCAACTATTAAACCTTTAATGTTTTTAACCCTCTATAAACAAAGTCATATTTTCTGAACGGGAAACCTTAAATTGAAACACAGAGTTTCATGTAATCAATTGGTGATAAGTGGAGTGGCCCATCTATCTTATATACTAAATATAATCTCTTGCAACTTCTGATGTGGAACCTTTGTCCCTAATACGCCCCCTCGAGATATGGCTCTTTGGCGTCAATCTCGGAATGTTTGGGCAAAGACGGATGGGCCGAATTTGGGCTGGATCAATAAAGATCGGGTTGGACTTTGTGGATCATGGACTCTGATACCATGTTAAGGTAGATGTGCTTCCAATCTAAAACCGATTGGTAATAAGTGGAGTGGCCCATATATCTTATATATTGCTTATAATCCCTTCCAACAACCGATGTGGGACTTTTGTCCCTAATACGCCCCTCGAGATGATGGCTCTTTGAGCGTCAATTTCGGAATGTTTGGGCAATGATCGATGGACCATTAAGACAAAATAGAGTATAATAAATAGGTGAAAGACATAAGAAAATAAAAAGTGGAAAACAATACAAAATCCAGCGCAACACATATTTCTCTGCATAAACCAAGAGAGAAAAATGAAACAATTTATTATGTTTCAACAGTAACTAGCGAAAACGCAAGTTGAAATTTTTTCACCTGATTGGCTAAATATTAGCTGGAGTCAAAGTAAATATGTTTTANAAATGAAACAATTTATTATGTTTCAACAGTAACTAGCGAAAACGCAAGTTGAAATTTTTTCACCTGATTGGCTAAATATTAGCTGGAGTCAAAGTAAATATGTTTTACACTTAAAATATATCGTCAGAAGTGCCATACAATCATAGCCTAAAATTAGAAACAATAGAATTTTTGGACTTACCTCACCTTCGATGAAAAGAAAAAAGAAATTTAATTTTTTTTATTTAATGATGAATTGTAATTGTCATTTTCCATTGATATAAGGGGTTTAAAGTTTAAACATTTTATATCTTTTATATGAACATGAAACTCTGTGTTTCAATTTAACGGTTTCTCATACAGAAAATATGACTTTGTTTACAGAGGGTTAAAAGCAATAAAGATTTAATAGTTGAGGGTTTAAAAATATAAAATTTTATGTTGGGGGTTTTCTATCCGATTTAAAAATAGTTGGAGGTTTAAATCCCTAAAATATATATTGATAGTAAGAACCTTATGTCGTTTTTGAAATTACATGAAACGCGGTGTTTCAATTTAACGGGTCTCCGTTAAGAAAAAACGATTTTGATAACGGAAGGTTAACAACATTAACGGTTTAATAGTTGGAGGTTTAAAAACATAAAATTTTAGTTGAAGGTTTTTTATCCGATTTAAAAATAGTTAGAGGTTTTAATCACTATAAACCCTATTTACAATAATTAAAATATTTTATAAATTCTAAACAAATTTATGCTTTAGATTGATTGGATGGTAAACTGAAAGTTATTTTAAATAATTTTAAAAATAAGGATTCTGATTTATTATTTTGACTATGGTTATATTAAGTTTCACAAACATAAAAACAGAAAATTAAAAATCAAAAGAGTTCTTAACAAAACAGATAATTTTAACTATTAAAATATAATATATCTACTTCGTTAAATTGTATAATGTTATGGTATTTTAAAATAATTGTAGTTATTTCCTGTTGTTATGTTTGTGAAACTTAATATAACCATAATCAAAATATTTAAGTAAATCAGAATCCTTATTCTTAAAACAGATAATTTTAACTATTAAAATATAATATATCTACCTCGTTAAATTATATATTGTTGTGATATTTAAAAATAATTGTAGTTACTTGATCAAAAGATTTTTATTATTAAATTTATTTTTAGTTTTATTTTTAGTATCTTTTAAGATAGTCAGTAAAAAAGAGATTGTTTTTGTGAAATTATACTATATAAGTAAAATATAATTTATATTTTTACTGTAATTGTAAGATATTATAGTCAAATCAATATACTAAAAAATAATTTCAATAATACTAATTATAAAAAATTCAATTAAACATATATCAGTTTATGTTAGTTGATTATTTTATGTAATCATCTAATAAAATAGATAGATATATACAAAAATAATTATTTTGAAAATATATATATACAGAAAAAATATTTCTTTTTCTAATAGCAATATTTTTTGTGTGAATTTTTTTAATGAATTCACATTATATACATATATTGTTTTTTATCTAAGAAGATATAAATATAAAGTATTTTATTACTTCAAAGGTATATTTTATGCTATTTGAAATATATTTAAATTAAATATTACTATTTTGTGAACTTTCCTTTTTTTATTAAACCATATTATATATACTTATATTTTTCGTTTTTAAATAGTTTTATAAATTTTATAAATGTTTCCATTTTATTTTATATTGTTATTTGGAAATTTTTAAAAAGGAAATAATATTTAATTGTATTTTTAATTTATTAGGGGTATCATAGTAATCAACCAGCGTGAAAGTTAACGTGAGTCCGACACCTAAGAAAGTGACTTCTCAAATAATATTATAGAGATGGCAGAATTGTACCCACATTGTACGGAAACCAAATTGTTAAATACACAGATTTTTATGTAAGTGAAAATTAGACCACAATGTCGCAACTCTAACCATGTAATGCTTTCACGCTTGTCTCACAAGTTCTAAATCAGTGATTGTATCATTGACAACAAAAGTAAAATGATTGCGCTACCAGAAAACAATTTAAAAAAAAAAACATCATACCAACTTTTATAACAATTTTTATATAGAACGAGATGCCTTTTAAAAAAAAAGATAAGAGAAGCAGAAATTCAACTCAAATTTATTTTATTCATTGCGATACTCACGTTATAAAAACAGGCAACCTCTCAAATAGTCTGTTCCCTGAAAACTTAGATACACTTTAGTTACAATATATATCTTATCCTTACAAAACATTAGAATAATTATCAAGGTGCCTACTTAGGATACGTACGTGACTTAATGGAATTAGTGTGTGTGTGTGTGTGTTTAATTATCACTAATTAAACCCATAACGCTCCAACGCTTTTAAGCATTGGGATAAGAGAGCGATTTAGATGAAGACTCATGACTTGATTGGCTCCACCAATGAGCTGGCCCCCAATGAAGACCACTGGCACGGTAGGGCTGCAACCTAGCTGAGCGAGTGCATGTTCTATCTCCTTTCCTCTGTTGATCTCGTCTAACTCATAGATCGTTGGGTTCACGCCAAAGTCGACGAAGAGAGTTTTGATTGAGTGAGACATGCAGCACGAGTTCTTGCTGAAGATCACAACAGGTTTCTCTGAGACCATCTTTTGAAGCTTCTCCATCGGTGATAATAGTATGGATTTTGAAAGAAATTACCTTTTTAGGATATGTAAAATTAATTATCAACTCAGGGGAAATATGATAATTTCTTTATCGGAATGAGATATCTGGAGTGGAAAATGGAAGGCTTTAGGAATTTTGGGATCAAGATGAGAGAAGTGACTTTGAGTTCTTGTGTTTGATGTGTCAAAGATCGACCATATAAGTGCTCTTATATATGGAAATTTCACGAATGTAGCAACTTCACGAATGCATGTACACAAATGAAAATGAGGATTCTAGATGCTATTGTTCGAATCTTGGTTCTTGTGGACGTACGTGTCTGATTTTTTAAAAGTACTAAGCTTCTATCGTAATCATTTTTTGTAAGAACAGAACAAGAGAAGTAATAAGAGAAAAAGTCATGCTTAGTCCAAGAGCATAATAAGAAGCTTTAATTAAAATAGTTAGACAAAATATTAAAACAGATGCGTTGAAAGAGAAAATTGTAATATCTAGCAAGTTAAATTATAATTCATATGAAATTATAAAATTTAGTTACAAGTTACTGTACAGAAGATATATTATGCATGAGCTTTTTTATTTAATTACCAATTTCATGTTATTTTCTAACTTTGGAATCAGTTTTATGATTGAATTAGGGGGTATAGGTTTGCATTTAAATTTATGTTTTAGATCATTTTTGGTAAATTACCTCAGAACTATTGTGAATGGTTTTTGAAGATTAAATACATAAAATCTAACTGGTCCAATGGGAAAATTTTCGATATTTTTTTAACTGAAAGAAGGTTAAGAATCTTAACTTAAAGATAAGATTGTAGAATATATGTAAAGATTTGGAGTTACTTTGGCTTATACAGACTAACAAAAGCTAGAGTTAACGATCAAAACTGTTATCAACTAGGAAAGAGACAAAGCAGTGTTTCAGTTTTCTTTAAAAGGGAGATAACACAATCTTAGCTTGAAGAATAATATAATACGGACGAATCATGTAATGTCTCTCTATACTACGGTCTTTCAGATTTATGAGCTGTACAAAACTGCAATATGTTATATTTTACAGCAATTCTTTTTTTTTTTGAATGAATGTAAAATTTATTCACACAAAAAAACGTTTTTACACCAAGTGCAGCCAATAAAAAGAAAGGAAAAGGATGAGGCTACAAAACCTCAATTACATCAAAAGCAAATCTAAATAAAACCCAAAAAAACATCATTAACACCCCCCCTCAAGTTAACCATATGGAACAAGTCAGAACTTGGAATTACAGCAATTCTAATTATACGTAACTGTTATTTGTACTCTAGATATGTATACAAAACATTCTAAGAATCTAAGATAGCCATTCAACGTGATTTTTTTGTCAGTTGGATAAATAATATGTTGAATATCCGATTTTATTATCATTTTATCTTTGCACATTTGGTTTCACCTCTTTGACAGAGTTTTAACTTTTAACTTTCAGATACACCATATAAAAGGGTTATAGCTCCTTCCTTTCTTCAGTATTTGAGAAAACTCGAGATCGCATATGATAGCATCTCAAGAATTCGAATATTGACCACTTGTGCAATAAGGCAAACTACGTGGTTCCGTTTTAGCCTTATCCCAATGCATGGAATTCGAATATATTACGATGTCAAGAATCAAACTAAATTGGGGTTTATTCCCAAGTCGATGAATAAGATTTATGTTAAAAATATACTCATAGTTTTTCTTTTCTTCTTAGTGGCTCAATTTGATCTCAAGAGTCGTTATTTTTATATCGGAATACAAGGTTTTTTTTTTTTTTTGACAAATCAAACTCAAGAGTATATCAGAATACAAGGTTATCATCATTTTCAATGTATAACGACACATACTTATGTACGTAATATGCTGCATATCACATCTAATTCTCCACAGCTGGCCCGTACTATATATCCTATAACATGGAATATATATCATCTATGTAACAATAGCTAAAGAAGTTATATTGCAGAATCCAGTTCTTTACACACATTGTGTAAGTTTTAAATCACGAGGTTGAACAATCACTTCAACAAAATTGCTTAGATGGATAGTTTTTATGGAAGGTAAAATTGTAGATGGATAATTAAGAATGTAATGATGGTTTTACCCAAATTATAAGAAAATATTTACTAACATGATGATATTGTTACAAGAGGCATATCATAAATTTACACAGCTTGCAGCAAATTGTTCACTTCAAACTATCTAGATAACAATCATTCATTAAATCCCTTAAAAAAAAACATTCAGTCATGTCTAACATATTTGTGGCAAATGAGATTATTTTGTAACTGTCGCATAGATATGAAATTATAAGGAAGAGGTTATACATGATCGATATCTTCACGTGAATGGAAATTTGTGGCAAATGGGATTATTTTGTAACAGTCGCATAGGTCGATATATATGAAATTACAAGGAATAGGTTATGATCGATATCTTCATTCAAATTTATATTTACTTCATAAATGAAACTTAGTGTAAATGTTTAATGCTTGGAAAGAAAATGAAGTGCTTGATGATATAAAGTCCGTGTACATAGATATATAAAGTGTAATGCTGCCATAATAAAATATTTGCGAAACCAGAGATCGTGTGATATTATTTGTTAGGAATATTTTGTTTTCGCGTGGCCAGTTGAGAAAAAAAAGCAAACTATATGGTTTAGTTTTAGCCTTATCGTCATGCAATAAATCGAATATTACGATGTCACGAATCAAACAAAATTGAGCTTTATTCCACTCGGCGAACAAAGTTCTTGGAAAGTCAAGCTTGTGGCCAAGAAGAACAGTGAAGCAATCACGTGGTATATTCCAAAAAAAATCCAAATCAAAATTAAAAGTCACGATTTTGCTTTTTGTTCTTAGAAATTTTAATAGTGGCCCAATGTTGATATCAGGAGTCGTTATTCGTGTATCACTGATACAAGGTTATAGCATCATTTTCAGTGTAGTGATTAACGTACCGACATATGCATATGCATGTACGTTATATGCTAAATCACATCTAATCCCGCCACTTGCCCGTACTGTCCTAGAACATAGAATATATATGATCATGATAGCATCCAATTCTTCAAAAAGTTTGTGTTTTTAATGGTTGGAACGTCGTTTTTAATTATAATGAGGTTGAACAATCACTGCGATAATTTAGTAGATGGGTTGTGAAAAATTTATTGACAGATTCGTCGCAATTTAAAAAATATATATATTTTACTTAATGATAGATTTTTATAAGATCAGTATTACAAATTTACAGAACTTGCAGAAAATGTTCACTTGTCAATAGCTATTTATCAACTACGCCTAAATTATTTAGTGCCTACAAAGATTTTCCTAGTAAAAGCTGCACGTTCATTAGTGTAAGTTAGTGTAAAAAACGCTGAATTATCTCTCTAAAACCCTTTCTCCCTGAACGATTTTCGGTAAGTACTTTTCACATCTCCGTAGGTCAGTTCCTGACCGTGTGCACATTATATATATATATATATATATATATACTATGTACTACAGTTTTTATTATAAAAAGATGGCATTACAACTCTTTTAAGTTGTAATCTAACCCCAAGAAGTGATACTGGGTCGACTATATCACATCTACTCCAAAATTTATATATTTAGATTTATTAGGTTTGTGGTATAATCCCAATTAAATTATTCTGATGTGTTAAAATAGTAAACATACAGTTTTCTGTTCAAATGCAGTTTAGGAATTTAACTAAGAAGTACATTCGAGTGCAAATACAGCCGCTATTTCTCTCTTTAGGTTTCTCTTGCAAAGAATCTAACTTGATATCAAACAAAGGTAGCTTTATTAATTGTTATCATTATAAACCAACTGCAACTTGATTCAAAGTATACTCATATATACAATAATACATACTATTTGCTTATAACTATTTTTATCTTCAATTTTTTTTAGATTAGTATGTATTGGAATATGTTATACAATATACATATCCTCGATTCTCTTTTCACCCCAATAATATGTAGTTATTTTTCAGCCCACGTGAACTATGTCTACATCGCATATATGAAATTATAAGAAGTACAAAAATATAAACATGGAAAAGTTGATATCCATGGTTAATTATTTTATTATAAAATACACCCACAGTTTACAAAATTGGTACTCGCATAATCTATCTTTTCAAAACATAGATAGACGTATCATTTACTCATACACACACTTGTGTATGTATGACTTTTCGTTTTTTCCAGTAACCTTAGCTTCATTAATATATTATTAAAGCCATAATGCACCAGCGCGCTTAAGCATTGGAACAAGGGAGCGATTAAGGTGAAGGCTCATGACTTGATTGGCTCCACCAACGAGCTGCCCTCCTATGAACACCACCGGTACAGTCGGGCTGCACCCAAGCTGAGCCAATGCTTGCTCTATTTCCTTTCCTTTATTGATCTCGTCGAGTTCATAGATCGTTGGGTTCACGCCGAAGTCTATGAAAAGAGTCTTGATTGTGTGAGACATGCAGCACGAGTTCTTGCTAAAGATCACTACGGACTTCTCGGATATCATCTTCTGTAGCTTATCCATTGTTTTTATTGAACTTAGAAGTTAAGGATCAAAACTGAATATCCAGAGAACTTATAGAGAGAATGTGAGTTATTTGGGTGAAGATGAGAGGTGACTTTGAGATTATGTGTTTGATGTTGTAAATGGTCTATAAGGATCCTCTATATATAGTTTTCATGTTACGAGTTTAAACTGATGAAGCCTTTTTCGAGGAGAATCAACTTTTGGACAAGTAGCTGAAAGATATTCAAAGATAAAAGAAATAAAAAATTATATGAAAAAGTATTAGAGTTTCATTCCTCTTGCCTTTGTGACTCTTGCAGCTAGAGAATAACAAGTGCAACTATCAACTAATTGGGTAAAACGTACAGATAACAAAATCTCTTAGATCAGATGTGACTGTGAGGAATATTTGATACGGACGAACAATGTTATGTCTTTGATGCCTTATTTTCAGTGTCAAAAGACACATTTATCCAAAAGAAATACATTATCCCATAATTACTTTTTTATTTTTCATGTAAAAATATATATATTTCATTTCCTTATATTACATGAATATACACGTTTTGTTTTCTTATATGAGGAATACCCTAACTATTGAAGTTGCACCTATTCAATTTATACTAGTTTTGATGTTACATTGTTCACAATTTTGTAATAATTACAAAAGAAAACATATTGACAATGGGATAGGATTTATAAAAGTAGTTCTATATGATAAAATCGACTGATGAAAAATATAACAAAAGCTGCATCACCGTCCTCTGCGAAAACGCGAGATCGTAAGGGTATATCTCCAGAATAATCTTATTCTTGTTTTTCTTTGTGTTTGGTCATTTACGTGGCTTCTTCACAGACATTCAAATGATTCTCTTTTTTCCATAAACTTCCATCACAAATCAATTTGGGAATAAAGCAAAAGAATTTATGATTCTTGACATTGCAGAGATTCGATATCACTTCTCCAGGATAAGACTCATCAACGGAACAAAAGTCATATTCTTTATTTATTTATTATAGGTTTCTCTGTTTCTTGATGTACGTAGGGTGGCCGAACTGTGATCCGGAGAGTCGTTATTCATAAGGACAAAAGCTGTATATACGTTCTAGTACTCTACCATCCAAGTCCAAAATATATTTTAGTCAAAAGGTCCAAAATATGAACTTAATTTCTTCTAATTAATCTACAAATTTACACTGCATTCTTAAAAATATAGATGATGATTATTTTTTCTGTATAAAGATTTTCTTGACGGAGGTATATCTATCTGATCAAATTTAATTAGTGTTACCAGCAGTTACATCAAAGTCAGCTTCATTTATACACACTTAGCTAGTATCTTCTTCAAGATACCCATTTAGAGCACATGCATCGCGGGATAAAACTCGACGCTTAACACAAAAAGTAAGGGGAGGGTCCCACAAAAAGATAAAACTCGACGCTTCTGATGCCACAATAAGCGTTCGATTTTGCTGGGTGCTTGGGCTTTCTCGCGGGCCCACGACACATGGCGGCCCGCGATTGGTTACATTTTAATTTTTTTTTTTTTAACCAGAAAACAAAAAAAATAAAAAATAAAAAATTTTAAGCACCTTTTTTTTGGCTCTAGAGATAATCATGCTCTTAGATCCTTTGAGTCCATTTATTGTTGCCAAACCACACTACTCTTGGACAGGAAGATCTACATTCGACTATTTTTCTATATTCCATCAATGCAGTAAATTAACTTAATAAATAGGAAAACTGTTTTTTATAACTCCCGAAGTACTTGTGTTGAAAAGGAACGGAAACGAAATTACCTCTAAGTGAGTCTATAACCAAAACAAGCCAATAGGCTGCCTTAACGGAAAAAAAGACTTATGACATATAAAAAGAAAACAAATTCGTTGGTTTCCTACATTGATAGCGCTTTTGCAATTGCCTAGATGACTAAAGCAAAATTTGACACCCCCTTCAGATAAATGTAGGACCGCAAAATTGGTTCCAACATACAAGAGAATAGGTTAATTAAGTCTCAGCCGTCATATATCTACAGCTTATGATAATGTAGTTGACTGGACTTTTTTACTGATTACTGTAAAGGCTTTTGATCTCCGTAGTTTTCACGAACTGGAATAGAGCCTGTGTTACTTCACTTAATTACTTAGTTACCTTTAACAGTGAGCTGGTGGATTTTTTTCAGAGGAAGAAAGGTCTTCTTAGTTTTTCATCTTGCTTTGCTCGTAGTTTGAGACGATTTTCATATAAATATATATACGAAAATATTATATTTCGTTTTCAGTTTCTTATGTATTGGATCATGATATACATTAAGTACATTAGGGATTAAATATATTAGTCCATCTATATTTGCACATTTTTCAAATGCCCATACATACAATACTCTTTTATAGATCCTTCCATGTATATATAATAATACAAACATGGGAAAGGAGAAGTACAACACTAGACAAAATCTACCCACAGGTTTGTTACGTAAGTATATGTCTATATTTAATTAATCAAAGCCATAACGCCCCAACGCGCTTAAGCATTGGAAGTAGAGACCGATTAAGATGAAGACTCATGACTTGATTGGCTCCACCAACGAGCTGGCCTCCTATGAAAACCACCGGCACCGTGGGACTGCAGCCGATCTGAGCCAATGCTTGCTCTATCTCATTTCCTCTGCTGATCTCGTCTAACTCATAGATCGTCGGGTTTACGCCAAAGTCTAAGAAGAGAGTCTTGACTGTGTGAGACATGCAGCAAGAGTTCTTGCTAAAGATCACTACTGATTTCTCGGAGATCATCTTCTGTAGTTTTTCCATTATTGTAATTTTTAAATGTGAAAGTGTGTTCAAAAAGCAGCTTGGAAATGCTGAAAAAAGCGGATGCTAGATTAGGGATGAAAACTGTAAAGCTAGTAGAGGAAGTGTGATATATATGGGAGAAGATGAGTAATGATTTTGTGTATGTGTTTTGATGTTTAAGGGTCTTTATATATAACTCTCTAAGGTACGTAAGCTTTCACATTACTGATTAAATTTAATAATTCCTTTTCTAAGAGAATCAATTTTATCCAATGTGCTTTTGTTCCTGCTGCTGCGAGAGAATAAAAAAGTGTAACTATCAATTAATTGGGTAAAACGTACAGATAACAAAATCTCTTAGACTAGCCGTGAGGAATATTTGATACGGACGAGGGACGACCCATGTCATATCTTGTTAGTAAGCCTTTTTTTTTCTGTCTCAAAACACATATTAATCGTATACATACAAGTGGTTTTCCTCTCACATATAATGTTGATGAAGTTGCATCTCTTTGTACATATATATCCTTTCATTTTCCCATCGGGCTGGTAATTTTTCATATCATATATACAAACAAATGTAATTAAGCATATGAATGCAAGTCTAGGGATGTTTAAAGTTTTGTTTAAAACTGAGTAGAAAAAAACTAGAAGGAGTTTGTTTCCGTTAAGATGATTTTACGTCTTAAATTTTCTAAATAAATCAAAATCGAGACAATATCTCATTAAAATGAGAAAACACCAGGCTAAACTTTATATTAAATTAAAACAACAATTTATAATAAGGAAGATGGGTAGGTCGATCTTTGTCAAGAAGATGGGTTGACTCAAGTTTGATTCGTACACGCGATAAATATGTGAGATGGTGTACGCGGCGCCTCTTTATTCAACTGTCAAAACATTATTCTCACAATTTTTTTTTGGAATACAGCTAAGTACTGTATGATTCTTGAAATTTTGGAATACAGCTAAGTACTGTATGATTCTTGAAATTCCAAAGATTCGATCTCATTCCACAGGATAAGGCTTGAAAGAACAAAAAGAAAATAGCTCAACTGTGATCCGGAGAGTCATATTCTACAAATTTAAAGGTGATCATTATAGCCAGTATGTAAATGTATTGCGTAAAAACACATATTATTTTCTGTAAAAAAGAACACATATTATCGTATCATATCCCAGTTCTACAACTACTGTCAGACACGTAAGGCCAGTCTTAAGATTTTGAGAAATATAAACAACTTACTAAGGTTTTAATAATATTAATAATTTTAATATTGATCTGAAGGCCTTTTTACACTACGCCATACCATATAATATTTTCAATACAACTATCACTTATGTAATAATCAATTTAAATAGTTACTCTCTTTTAGCATACCATATAATATTTTCAATACAACTATCAGTTATGTAATATTCAATTTAAATGTTACTTAATTAAGTTTACAAAAAGGTCGTATTCGTATTTTCAATTTGTAGTTTACAATTTCATTACATATTTGTATTCAAAACAGAATCCAAAACGTTAATGCTTATGTTCGGTTTCAAACGTTGAGTAGTTGTCTTGATTTCGCCATATCCCAAAAACATCAATTCTGCTTCACGTTCTTAGTTTTATCCTCTCGTCTCGCCGAAAAGGAACTGAGAAAAATTTGATAATTTTCCTCTTATATACCAACGTAAGACTCATGGTCCATTAACCAAAATATTTTTTAAAATATAACTAAACATTATATTCAAAAGATACACAGAAAAAAAAACTCAAAGCTACACATGTTATAAAAACTGTTTTATACATGAGTAATTTAACATTCTTTCAAAAAAAAAATGATGTACACAAATTTTATAAAGTATATACAAGAATACAAACTTTTTGGTAAAAATACAAGAATACAAACTTCACGGTTAGATAACAAAATCTCTTAACTTCCAGTTGGAAAAAGGGATTTGGAAATGTTAAACTTGCAATGAATGGACTACTGCTTTCGTGAAAATATATGCTTACTAAGCAGCTCTCAGTACATGATTAATTCGTACGTACTCTTCCTTTTTATCTATCGAACAAGTATAGTTATGCTTTGTTCTGATTGGATAACACAACCAGAATTGCCCAACAACATTGATACAATTGTTCCAACATCTTAATGTCTCCACTCATATCCTAGCAGCCATAATTTGAGACTAGAGTAAAGAAAATTGGATCAGGACGAACTTGTTGTAAGCGCTCCTTGAAACCACAGTTAGAGAAGCTTTAAAACGAAGACTGGTCGATCATGTCGAAGATTTGTGGCTCTGCTTTTGGTGGAAGAGATTAGTGAGAGTACTGATATGTATGTGATAATTTCTTTCAGTTCAATGCATGCATGTATGTATCAACATATAAGTACGCACATTTATTTTCATGGAAAAGGGAAAGGAAATTCAGTTTTAAAAAATAAAAAGAAAAAATTAAACACTGATGATATTATTAAATTATAGCCATACGTTACAAATAGGTATCCACAGTATCTATCCTCTTAAAACTTAGATAGACAACATTCATGCATACATTATGTATTTTTCGTCATTCTTTGATTACTTTCATTACATTATTAATTATCAAACCAAATATCCCTTATATTTAATCAAAGCCATAATGCTCCAACGCTCTTCAGCATTGGGACGAGAGAACGATTGAGATGAAGAGTCATCACTTGATTGGCTCCACCAACAAGCTGTCCTCCTATGAACACCACCGGCACTGTAGGGCTACAGCCTAACTGAGCCAGTGCTTGCTCTATCTCTTTTCCTTTGTTGATCTCGTCTAGTTCATAGATTGTTGGGTTTACACCAAAGTCTAGGAAGAGAGTTTTGATTGTGTGTGACATGCAGCAAGAGTTCTTGCTAAAGATCACTACTGACTTCTCAGAGATCATCTTTTGTAGCTTTTCCATTGGTGTTATGAGATGAAATGGAAACTGAAAGGCGGGTTGAATAGAGAAAAATGGGAAGGTTTGTTTCAAAATGAAAGATTAGGGATGAATAATGGACTTGTAAAGAGATTGCGGTATATATCTTTGTGTGAAGATGAGAAGTTAGTTCGAGTTTATGTGTTTGATGTTGTGAAAGGTCTATAAGGGTCCTTTATATAACTTTATAAGGAACGTAGAGCTATCATGTTATGGGTTAGATCTAGCCCCTTTTTCGAGAATCAACTTTATTCCACAAAATAAAGAACACATTTTAGTAATGAGGATTTTAATACGATAGTGGGAGAATATGAGGATTTGAGGCTAATATCGTTGCACACCTTCTCCAATCTTTGCCTCTTACGTACAGCTAAAGAATAAAGCTATCAACTAAAGTCGGTAAAACGTACAGAAAACAATATCTCTCTTAGATGTGAGGAATATTTGATACGGACTAATCATGTCATAACTTTATAGTACGGCTATATAAATATTCATTCATTGTCAAAAGAGATATAGTTTTACGTTTACTGCATTACGTACCCATAATTATGTTGAAAATTAGAAAGTTTGAGGACCCATTGGATATTAATCTGACTAAGGCCAGTGATAACAGTTGCAGTGTCTAGTAGTAGAAATTGAAGTTCTACAAGAACTTGTTCCTCGAAACTTATTGTTTAATGGAAAAAATAAAACTATATTCATAACTCAGTAGCAGAGCTATCTCTGGTAAAATAAAAATCTCAAGGTACTTATGCAAGTACGATAAAGCCTAAACAAATGAATATGATAAAAGTAGAGCTCTACTTAGTGAAAGCTCGAGATCGTAGGATATCTCCAGAATACTGTTTTATTTATGTTGTGTTGAGGATCACGTGGCTTTTTGCGAACCATCAGAAATTTCTCATGAAATATTCACCAGAAATCGATTTTAGAATAAAGGTAAGTTTTGTAAGAATCTTTACTCCATGACGATAAGGCTCGGTTAATGGAACCACCACACTGTTTTTTTTTTAAATGTATTTCTTCATGAAATGTGACTCGGACTGATCTGGAGAGTCGTTATTCATAAATAACGAAATCTTTTGCACTAAAACTTAGAAATTGCAGCTTTTTAGTAAAAAAAAAACTTAGAAATTGACCCATGCATAGACAATTAGGGACTCAACTATTGTAAATAGTCTCTCCCAACAAGAATTAATTTGAGTAACGGAGTGCCTAGACTCAGCTACTCACTTTTGATATGATTATATTTGTAAGCTATGCACGAATAGAAAACCTAAACTCATTAAAAAAGAACTAATTTCTCAGACTGAGGGGAATTAGGTAAGACTGGCGTATGAATCTGTGGCTTCCTGTGATGATATCCCTCCTATGTACGGCGGTTCCAATCTCCTCTCCAGTCATGAGTTCTTATTGCCTCTAGGGTGAAAGATGGAGTTGTTGTTAGAATAATAATCAAGATGAGACTATGAAAGATGGAGTTGTCTCAGACGTAGGCAAGCTCTCATCTTGATTATTATTCCAATCTCCTCTCCAGTCATGAGTTCTTATTGCCTATGGAGTTGTTGTTAGAATAATTTAGTTTGTTATAACTTTGATCACGAAAGTTGTTGATGGTGTCTCTGAGTTAAGAGACAAATGCAACTACTGTAACAAAGACTATGCATATGAACCACACAACACAAGCAAGGTACTTCAATTTACAATTAAAAGGCATTCACTAGTTGATAAGGGTTTTTAAGCCTCAGAGCAAATCGATTATAGTATTTTAGATTGTCGAACCACAGGGAACTAGTGATCTAAGCACTAAGAGTACACAAACCTTCCTAATCTAAGCAAATAGAGAGTTCGATTTGTAACAAGCTAAGGTTCCTAAAAATATAAACAGGGTGATCTCAAATCCAATCTAGAAACAATCACAAG